TAAATAAAAACATTTAAGATCACATAGTGAACATACACATTGCATCTTATCTAATATGTTTGAAGCGATTTCAATTGTTAGTGAGAAAAATTAGCCAAAAATGGTTACTTAGTATCAAATACCGCTAATGAGATAACTCAACACTCTATGCATATAAGGCAATGGATTGGGAACATTGATAGTGATTTTTTAAGCCAAATAACTACTTTGTATGTATATACTATAGAAGTTGTATTTGTACAAATCATAAAAGATTAGAATCATCAATTAATCAAAGATACTACAACTTATTTTTACCTTTATTTTTTATTTGCTATCTTGCATTTTTACTTTTATTTACTGTCATTTTCTGTATAATTTTAGCATTTACATTCTTTTTTTACCTTTATTTGTCGTCTTTAACTTTTACATTTTTTAGTTGATTACAATATTTACTTTCAATTACATTTAATCAAGAATTTTCTTAAATATCTTGATAACATATAGTTAAAGTATAAATTCTCTCATTTAGCATAATTGCCTAATACATTTGAAAAGAATCATTTGTTTTTAATTATCAACGAATCAATATAAACTAATATAAATGAATACATAACTCTTTTTAGCATGTTTGCACAACTTAAACTTAACCAAGCAATAATAATTTTTTGCCACAAACACATCCATAACATGAAAAATTGATTAGGTACATAATAAGCTTTCATATATTTTCATAGCATTTTACATTTGTCACATATATATTTATTTACTCAAAGAGAGAGACATAGATTTTTTTTTCAAAAATAACTCAAAATATTCCAATAATAATTTTATTTTTTAACATTAATATGAAAAGGAAAAAATATTTTTTCTAAGTTGTGATTTAAAGTGTAATTCCACACATTTACATTTACATGTACATTAACACATGTTTGAAGTATTGCAAAATTGTGTAAAATGTAAATCATATCTTTGTTGAATTAATATTATCCTAATCTTAATGCATTAAAAATATGTGAATGTTGATCATATTATTTTTTCATCTGTCATATAAACTAGGTAACACAGGATGTTACAACCATACTAGTGATATATTAGTCATCACACTTTATACAAATCTTATTTGAAGTTGGTTTAAACAAGATAATTTGGATTAAGATATAAGAATTGATCATGAGTAAGGCCCAATTTAAGTAAACTTTTAGAAAAGTTATTACGGGGACAAAAAATTTATCAAAATATTAAAAAAACATAAGTTGCTTTTAACTTATTAAAAAAATTTAATTATTTCTTATACTATTTTTTACAAGCTTTTATTAAAATTTACCCAAACCAAATTCAAGTTTGAATTAGTGTGACAAATAACTAATTTGAAATATAATGTTTGGAGTGAAATATTTACCTAAATCAAGATGAATATTTAACTAATTTAAAGTTGTTATTGCAATAAGCAACCTAAGTGTCTATCCCTACATGATAAAAAGTTTACCATAAAACAATAATAATAGTATTATTTGAACGCTTAACTTAAGAATTCATGAGTTTTCACATATTCTAAGTTTTTATTATTATTATTATTATACATATACCCACACATATAGTTATACATACTTGGAGATTAAATAAAATAAAATTTAAAGATAATTATTTTTCCTAAATAACATTTAAATAATGCTTTATGGAAGTACTTATAATTTATTAAGAAAAAAATTTGATTATAAAAAGAAGATACCGGTATTTTAAGATGATAAAATATTTCTAAAAAATACTAAAATAATAACTATGAAAACCTATTAATAAATAATTAATATATTATTTTATGTCATTTCATACGAAATTTTTGTTATCAATTGTTCTTTATTTAATCAATTAAATTTCAGCTTTTAAAATTTAACATATTTATGTGCAAAGTTGTACTCAACAAACCCTAATTTTTTGAGCTGATTGAACAGGAAAGTAAAGCTGTGGGGGGTAGCAGCCATTTAGGTGAGGGTTGGGAATATAGTAAGTGAAAATGTGTGGGATATGTTTTTCACCATAAAAAAATAAAAAGGAAAAGGGTGATTGGTTACAGCGTAGATTAGCTTTGTTTCTTTTCTTCTCCCACACCCATTCCCATTAACATTAAGCAATATCACCTTCTTTTCTCCGAATAAAACGACACACAACTTTCTGCGTCTCGCCACATTAATCCAATCTGCACCTTACCATTTTTGCTCTACACGTGGCCCAATGTTAAGTCACACTTTTCTGTCCCACAACGATTCTCTCACTACAAACAAGATCAATTATTTCAAAAATAACGTCAACAATTTTTTTTTCTTCAAAATTTGAATATTTAGCGTACGTTAGAAAATATTATTTTTTTTATTGATTTTAAAATTTGTTAGAAGTTCCGTTAATTTTTGTTTTGGTATTGTTTTATAACAAATTATAATTTACAGTACCAACTCAGTTGACAAACTGATCCAAACTAAAATTAAGAAACCATTGGAACAAAAAAATAAACTTTAATTTTTTTATTAATTTTATATAAATTTACTAAAAATAAGTAAAAATGATAATTTATGATTAAAAATATTAAATTATTTTTAATAGTTTTTTATTCTAAACAATTAATGATTTAAAATATAAAATTAACTATTATATGCAACATCGATCTTCCTTTTTTGCAAATTTATCTTAAAAAAATAATTTATTTTATATTACTTCTCAGTTATTATATTTAAATTAAAATTTTATTTTTATGATAAAAAATAATGTATTGTTAATTCAAATACACAACAATTATTAAAATAATTTTATTTTTCAGTTATTAAAAAAACAATTAATTTAACCAATAATTTTTTCCATAGATATTTATAAATTTATAAATATTTTTTAAAATTAAAACTTAAATACTTGTCTTATTTTGAAAATTCACATAAATTAAAAGTTAAAATAAATTATTTATATTAAAATATTAGTACAAGTTCAGTAAAAGTTATATTTAAAAAATTATTTTCTATTAAAAACGTCTAAAAAATATTATTTTTCTAAAACAAATAAAATAAATACGATCTTGATATCTTGACTTTATAGCAACTTGGAACAGAACGTACCGATCTTACCGTAAGAGGAGCCACACAGAATAATGACCCTTTATAAGAAGTGAACTGAAAATGTAAAAGGAGCGAAGCTACGAGAGCAGGTTGGCCTACTACGACTAGCAGTTATGAGTTTTAATGGGACCCACCCACCCTATGAACCTCACTGTATGTTTCTACAATTATATTCCATTCATAAAATAAGTATTATTACTTTTCTTTCATAATGATCCACGAATGTACCTCACCCTTTTATTATTTTTCCCCTAAACTTGGTTTAGCGTTAGTAATGATGTGTTAAACCTAACAAATGTGAGCAAAAATTATGACACACTTGACTTAATATGTGGATTATCTTTTCTTGGTGTACTTCATTCATGGGTAATTGTTATTTTTAAGGATTTTGAAAATTATTTTGTGCATAATTGCATGTATTTGGCTCATGTACGTGTCAAATTTAATTTGAAAACACGAAGACTATTCTGATTTACAATAGTAAACATTCAACATTAATTAAGACAAGAAGATTATTCTGTCATATTGCAGTTGTTTCAAAATTACCAATTTAATGAAAGTTTAGCCTGAAAATGACTTCTCATCTGCAATTTAAAGGGGGAGAGAGGATGGGTTAGCTATGGTTGAATTTGGTCTGGATGCGAGATCTGACTAGTTGGTGATTTATAAGATCGTAAAGGGCACTATAAGTGAAGGAAATGCCTTTTAATATATAATATTGGTCGAACAAAGGGTCTTAATAGTGCAATACATGTTCTTTGCAATTACTTTGAGCCATTTGATTTGGCATTCATTGGGCTCTCCTTGGCCGCTTGATTAGATAATGTTTTCACTTATTTACTAAAGCCGACCTTATGGTATAGTCTTAGAGGGGGGTTGGACCAAATTTATATACATAAAGTACATAGTGGGTATCTCATGGATTTGACTAATTTGGTGCCTTGTAATTTTCCTTAAGAACTTTATCATGGACACACTGCTTGTCATATTATCTTCCCATACTTTAATTTTATGAGAGGAAATTAATATTTAATTTGGAGAATAAAATTAAAATAAAAAAGCTTAAGAACTTCAATTCAATCCCATTCCATGGTTTGAATATGACTTTTTCATTTACAGTCCCCAAGTTGATGATAATTGGTGAGCCATGTCATGGAGCAAAAAAACTTGCGAGATTCATGTGGCCATCTCGCAATCACAAGGCTCCTAAGTCCCGAATCACCGTTGGATTAATCACAAGTTACTTAAGACTAATGCTTGCATTTGGCTGTTTGATTTGCAATCAACAGTGGTAGGACCCCGGCATCAACCTCCATAGCCTAATCCAACGGTGATAATCGAGTTTGTGACCACAAATAGTCACACAGGCAGGTTTATTCCTTTCGTTTTTAAACCAAAAACCACATTAAATACTTATCAACATCATGTCATCACACACGGGAGAATATAAAATTGTGAATTGGTATTCTGATCTCATTAAAAAAAAAATATTATAACAGGAACAAAAATTGGGAAAGGCCAAAAACATTTCCTTGTTTCTTTCTCCTTTTTTTTTCTTTTTATTGTGGGTTTCCTTTTTTTCTTTCCCCTAAAAATATTTTAGTTTTAACTAGTTATTATAAAACCACCATAAAATGGATGGTACAGATGGGATACTTTTAGATTTTGTTTGCTGAGAAATTGAAAATTGATGATAAGCAAAGAAGAAAAGTCCATAGTCAACAGGATATGTGCAATAATATTCCCCTACCCCTCCGTTTCTTTTATGACAAGATGAGCTCCTAGTTTTAATGTTAAATTTTAATTTAACTAAAAGCAAAATTGAAATATTTCGAAAAACAACAACAAAACAGAAAGAGTAGAGAAGTAGGCCGAAAAAAAAATAAAATAAAGGAAAAAGCAAAAAAAGCTGAAACATTTACTTCTTATACAATACAAGAGGTCACATACACTGACCTTCTCTCTCTCTCTCTCTCTCTCTCTTTCTCACACACACCATTACCTTCTTTTCCTCTTTTCACAACCATTTGTGAGATTCCTTCATTGGTCTTCTCTCTTCCATTGGATTGTACAGATTCCCAGTTACAAAACACACATCAATCTCTTCAATTCTTGTTGTTGTGTGGTTGTTTATGTGAAAAAAATTTTCAAGGACTATAAAGACAAAACTTTTCTGCGTCTATTGGTTTCTGCTTTTTTATGCAAACTATCATTCTGGGTTTACTGCAGAAAACAAAGCCTTTGAAGAAAACTATTGTATTTTCAGAAAAATTGCATTTTTATTAGCTTTTTGTCAAAAAAAAAAATAAAAATTTTCCGCTCATTTTTCTGCAAAAATTCTTCATATACCTTTTTATTAATTTGCGGAAAAGATTGAGACATGGGCAAGCAAGGGCCTTGCTATCACTGTGGAGTTACAAGTGAGTTCTTGTTTCTCCAATACATAATTTTCTTTCAAGTTATTGACTTTTTTATTTTTTAATTTTTCCAAAGGTTGCAACTATTTGCAAATTGAGATGTGTTGAAGGAAGAGTCGCTGGGCAATATAAACTAAGAAAGTTATGGGTGATTTGCGTAATATTCTGGATGTATATGAATTCAAAACTACAACTAGTCTTGTTGCTTAGAGCAATTGTAATTGAAAGTTGTGGAAAATTATGTTGATTTTGTGTTTTTACACTCATATGTTGGTCTTTGTTTTCCTTGTCTTTGTGTGAAATCTGAGCCAATGTAACTGGTGCAAAATTAAGCTTAGAGTACATTGAATATGGGATTCCCTGCATTGATATGAATAACACTTGCTGCCGTCAAGGTCTTTATCAAAAGAGTCAACCACAGTTATGTTCTCCTATTTGGTTGGAAAGTAGATAAGTGGATTAAGCATTTGCGAAATGCCAAAGGTTAATCCATTCCTATCTTTTGAAAGGATTTTACAAAGTTGTTTCCATTTCCTCTATAAAGCAATTTCTCATTGTATCAAATGATATTGGACAAGTATTGCATTCATCCCTCGGACATTTCTTGTTCCCTTGCTGTTTTAGCTGAATAAAAATTAATTCTCGTGCTTTTTGTTATTATATTTATATTTTTTCTCAATTTGAAACTACTTATTTTGTTCACAGTACTTATCACCTCAATAGGACTAGTCCTGCAACTTAAGCCTCAGATTTTCATTGCTTTGCTTATAATTGTAAAGCACTTTCCAAAGTGTTGAAGTCATTCAACTTGTTTTCTGCTCAATACTCTAGCAATGTCATTCGTATAAAGTAAATGATTGCAATCCCAAAGAGATGGGAATGTTTCATTTTGAATGCCTTAACTTTGATGTCTTGAGTGAGACTTTACAGTTATTGTTAAACATTTAAGCTCAAATGCATTTGGTGTCTTCACTATTAGTCTACAAGTGTTCTTAATTTGAATCTCAACACTAACTGCTTGCGGTTTCTAGATCAATATTGTTTTCATTGCAAAGGGTATTGTTATGTATTAATCTTATATATTTAAAGTTAGCAGGCTAATAACTAGATGACAGTCAGTCAGTCTAGAAGTACCTGATAATTCCTTATTCTAGTGAATACTGACAAATGGTGTTGTCTCAACCTTGTAGTTGTTTGTTGATTTCAACTTTCTAGTCTATGAAAGACAACCAGCTACTGTAAAATATTTAAATCCAGAGGTTTAAGCTATGTTGCCTAGTACTGAAATTGACATGGATTTTTTAATATGCATAAATTGAATTATCAGGAGAAATATGAATATGTGGCTGTTAATAGTCTATCCAATCGGAGATATATCTCTATTTTTTATTACTAGGATTCTAATTGTTTGTAGATTCGCTGACAATTGAGCACTGTAACAGGCACACCACTTTGGCGTAATGGACCACCAGAGAAGCCGGTACTATGCAATGCATGTGGGTCTCGATGGAGGACAAAGGGAACACTTGCAAACTATACCCCTTTACACGCTCGGGCAGAAACAGATGATTATGTGGATCAAAGGGTTTCCAGGGTGAAGAGCATATCGTTAAATAAGAACAAAGAGGTGACATTGCTCAAACGAAAGCATAACTATGATAATGTAGTATCTGGAGGGTTTGCACCTGATTACAACCAGGGATTCCAAAAGGCTGTAATAGAAGAAGATACTAGCAATCGATCGAGTTCAGGATCAGCTATCTCTAACTCGGAGAGCTGCGCACAATTTGGTGGCATGGATGCTAGTGATCTGACAGGTTGAATTATTACTGTGCTGATTTTATCAGATGATCTTTCTTCTGATTAACGATTATGGCAGCATGACCATTTTGAAACAAGTATTACCGGTCGAGATTTATGTTAACCCAATCAGGAAGTGGACAATGAAATGAGGGCAAAAAACGAAATATATTGTGGAACAACAGCACAGTTTCATAGTAATTGGTTTTCCTAAGAAAAGACAAGTGAATTTTGTTTCTAACTGTATATGGTTATGCTTTTCATTGACAAAAAGAATTGAATAAGTGATTTAAATATTTTCTACCATGAAGCTCTAATTATGTCTAGCAATATTTGTAATGACAAGTTCTCTAATTATATATGGATTATCTGTTTTTTATTTAGTGCATAACTTTTAACTACATAGTACATATTCCTTAGATAACATTCTTTTTCCTAATAATAGAATTTCAAGTCTTACTAATATGCTTCATCTATCTTGTTCCTTATAAATTGACTTAAGATCAATAACTTTTACTCGTGTTATTATGCAAAATATATAATCTCCTGCATATCAGAGCAGGTAACTCCTTTGCCTCTTATGAAAACATGTAATTTTAATATAGATAGTTTGTTTGATTTAGGTCCTGCTCAGTCAGTGGTCTGGGATGCCATGGTGCCTTCAAAAAAGAGGACATGTGTGGGTCGTCCAAAGCCTTCTTCTGTTGAGAAGCTCACAAAAGATTTATGCACTATTCTTCATGAACAACAGTCTTATTTTTCTGCATCTTCTGAAGAAGATCTTCTTTTTGAAAGTGATACACCAATGGTCTCTGTTGAGATAGGACATGGAAGCGTTCTCATTAGGCATCCTAGCTATATAGCTCGTGAAGAAGAGTCTGAGGCTAGCTCTCTTTCAGTTGATAATAGACAATGCCCAATGAGTGAGGCATATTCAGGTGCCATTCTTATGCGTAATGATTCTAGTCACACATCTCAGGTTATTGAAAAGATCAGGAACTTTGTTGGCCAAGGAATGCAGCAGGAGCAACTTAAAAGGCATGCTTTCTTTCGCTGGTTTATGGCATAATTTGTAGTAAGTTGTAATTGAGTATCATTAATTAATGTGATCCACAAGTATTCATTTCGTTGCTACCCTAAAAGAAACCTATTTCATTTGTTTCTGCAAAAAATTTTGATTTGTGTATTCATGAATTTTTTGTGTGCATGTGACTTGGTGAAGAAATATCTGAAATCGACGTGCAGAAATTGTTTTGCAGAAGAGATAAATATGCTCTGTTGCCATTAATGTTTCTGTTTGTAAATTTCAGTGACAAGTCTCATCTTGAAAGAATCCTTGGAAATCATGAATCACCACTTTGCTTAATAGATTTACAGGTGAGTTACATATTTCTTCCCTCTTTTGATTGCATTTTTTTTAACCTTTTATTAGATTCTTCATTTGTATAATTACTGTAAGCGGTATGAGGATGGCACTTTGATTCAAATGCTTGGATAACAGACAATATTTTCATAAACAATTTCTTCTTAGTCTAGTATTCTTGTCTTGTTCTGCACACATATTTATTAATATTATATTTTTAAGTAAGCATGAGGCCTCTAATCTTTCAAATTGTAGAGTGCTTAATGTTATTGCTTGCTATTATGTTTGGCTAGGATGTTGTAAATTATGAAGAGTTTTTAAGAATCTTGACAAATGAAGAGCAGCAGCGATTACTGAAGTTACTTCCTATGGTTGATACTGCTAAACTTCCTGACAGGTTAGAATTCTGATCTTTCATTTATGGTTCATCATGTTTTTGTTGTCAGTGATCTTGCTATGTTGTAATTCACATATAGAATTTTCACTTCTGTTTGTTTTCTTTTCTTTGTTTTTTTTTTTTTTGGGGGGGGGGGGGGGGGTGGTGTTGTCTATATAGCAACTCTATACGTCATAGCTATAATTGGCATGCACCAAGAAAATTGAGGCCATTTTCATTTGAACACCATTCCATCAGAATTCCAAACAATGTAATAAACTATCCATATGTTATTTTGACATCATTGGTATTTCTTGAATATTTCAGTTTTTTTAAAAATATATAAATGCAATGCTCTACATTGTGGTAGATATGTAATAGAAGGCATTGAGACTTAAGACTAAAACCATCGATAATGACAGTTTATGTTGTTGTATGTGCAGCCTTAAAGTGATGTTCAACAGTTCTCAATTCAAAGAGAACTTGACTTATTTTCAGCAGCTTCTTGCTGAAGGAGTTTTTGATATCTCGTTGTTGGGGGCAAAACCTGAAGACTGCAAGACTTTGAAAAGACTTGCATTATCCAATCTGTCAAAGTCAAAATGGGTAGAACACTATAATTTTCTTAAGGTTTGTTCATGATCTTGACATCAGAAATTTCTGTTGATAAACAAAACCATATGTATTAAGATATCGCATCCTTCTATAGTTGCAGAGACGCAAAAACAGAGTTGGAAAATCTAGTACTATGGGATCTACTGGTACAGCATCAACTAGTGTTGCAAATGGCAAGGCATCAACTAATGTTGCAAACATCAAGAGAATGCGTGACAGCAGAAATCAGAACTTTCCAGGTTAGCAAAAAATCTGACATCAAAGACAAAATAACAGATCATATGCCAAGACCTTCCAAGTTCCAATTATTGTTTCCCTAATGCAGCAACAATGATGTGTGGTTGTTGGGTATACCTTGTACAGTCAGGGATATTTGGTTTGAGGGAAATGGTGTGGGTAAATTTGGATCCTCTCCATAGAGTAGTTCAGTTTTTCATTAATTACCAATAATTAGTGTTGATTGAATTCTCCCCCCAGAATGCTTTGATATATTAATAATGATTGATAATTTTATTTGCTGACAAACTGATAAAATGTTTATATTATTATGTAATTTGTGCTATTAATAGCAACACTTGTATAGTTTGTTTATTGGATATTTGACACTCAAAATGCTGAACAAAGTCATACTTTTACTTTGAGATATGTCATGAAAATTTTGACTGTCTTTAACTAGTTAGAATGAAGAACTGTTGGTTATGACTGGTGTTTTATAATTTAACGGAGGAATCATTCGTAACACTTCCTACAAATTTCAGAATTGAAGACAATAATGAGGAGCCCAAAAAGAGTGATCTCAAAGGGTGGCTGTGAGGGCAAACAAGCTGTAGAAGATGGTGCTTGCTATAGTCCAAAAAGCCTATTTGCTTTGCCTCCTGATGCAAGTTCACTCTTGCTGGATTCTTTAAACTTTGATGAGGAGAGTGGTGATCAAGATCTTCTGCTAGAGGTGCCATCTAACACTTCTTTTCCACAAGCAGAGCTTCTTCACCCAACTTTAAGCCTTGCAGCTCAAACCAGCACTAGTAGTAACTCAGTATACTCACATCTTCAGCATTAGGTAATCTTTACCAAGTTATTTGGGTGGCTACTATGAGCAGTTATATCGCATATTACACATTTTAAACATATGATGGTTGTGCTTCTTGTTTACTTGCAACCTTCTTTAGCTTGGATTGCCAACGATGCAAGTTGGGTGGGGTTTTTTGTATAGGTTGGTAACAGATTGTAACATATAGCATCAAATGAGGAGGGATAATCTCCGGAGTTTTTTGTATGCAATTGTAGTTTTTATTTTGTGAATAATTTTGACACTTTTTTTTACCATAGAAACCACATTTACTCCTACAACTTTGGTGTAAACAAATAAGACAACATTATGGGACGTGTGTGGAGGAACTGGACAATAAAATTATCTATAGTTAAGTTTCATAGTATATGACACCCCATACCCCGACATTCTAAAGGTGCATTTGATTTGATGCATTCCTATATCGAGTGCTTAATTGTGATGGATGGTCCTAGCAAAAGGGTGTTTTGTTGGAAGAAATCATTTATCAGTTCATGGAAATAAAATATTACTTGCATTTGGTGTATATGGGCAGCACTACGATATGTTAGGAAAATACTTATTTTTTCGATTGTACAGATGAAATAAAATTCATAATTAATTTACCTTATAATTATCTTTTCTAATGAGTTAATCCAGGAAGCAAACACAATTCTTTTGTAGTAATCAGCATTATTATGTGATTTTGACTTTTGTATTTTTACTTACACTAATATTATAGTTTGTGTAATTTCTTAATCGATAAATTGGAATCTTTCAACCCTGATTACGTCCAGTTATTGATTTAAGCGTGATAGAGGTGGGATATGACATTTTTGTGTAATTTTGATATTTTGATTTTAATTACTTGCATTTAATGTATATTTTGTAGCATTTTTTTTTCAATAATTAATTTTTGAAATAAGCTAACTTAAATACACATTATCCTCATTTTTTTAAAAATATTTTTTAATTTTCTTTTGTGTTTAACACCAAACATTTTAAGAAAATATAATAAATATATAGAATTTATGTAAACAAGATATGATAAATTGTGTTGTTAATACATTGATTTTTAATAAAAAAAAATTATGTATAACTTTGTATTATTTCCTTTTTGAAACCTAATCAAAATTTAAATTCTAAAATTAAGACTGTTTGACAGATAAAATAAAAAATATTCGGGATATTTTTTTTTTCTAATTTATCATATTTTGGGTGTGTGTTTAGTCAATAACATATGATAAATTTATCTTAAAAACTTATTATATCTTACACTTTAATATAATTTTTATTTTATAGAAGAACATGCGTAAAAAACGAAGATAATAGAACAATATAATACATCTAATCTAATTTACTATTTTAGTATGCATTATGTATAAAATAAAATAATATTTTATTTTTTATTTTTCTTAATTTTTCAACTCTCATTTTGTACCTTATTATATTCAGTAGTATAAACTCTAAAAATAATAGACTAAAATTTTTATATAAATAACACATAACATTTAATAAAACAATTAAATTATAAATTTAGTTTTTATATTTATGCTTTTTTAATTTAATCTTTATATAAAAAAGTTACAATTTAATTTTTACATAATAAATATTTTTAAATTAATTTTTACGGTTAAAAATATGTTAATGTCAATACAAAATATATATGTATAAAAAATAAAATTTAAATGTCAATTGTAAGACTAAAATTATAAATAAATATTAAATAATCAATTAAATTTAAAACTCTTAGTATTTAAGTATCATTTTAACCTTTCTTTATCACTGATAAAATTTAACTAATATTGCTTTATAATATATATATTCATTGGTGTTTAAATTTCTACAATGCATGAAATATTTTATAATATTAAATTTCAAAATTTTGGTTATTAAAAAAAATATAAAATAAATTTAATCAAATAAATATTTATATTAATATAAACATTTTTTCAGTGATATATATGTGCATTTCTTTATTCAAATAATATGAATATTTATAATTTTTTTAATTTCTTAAAATTAAGTTAAACTAAATAAAATCTTACACACAACGAGTTATAATTTATAATTAAATTTAATACATTTAACATTTTTATTAACTTAATTCAAAAACATAAAAAATAAGAAATAATACTTTGATTAAAATAAAAAAATTAACAATTTTTGTTATCAATTTTATTAAAAATATACATTATATATATCATACTAATTTTATCAAATAAATATTGATATTAATATAAATATTTTTTTCGTAATATATATATATATATATATCTTTATATGTGTATTTGTTTATTTAAATAATATAAATTTTTACAATAAATTTTTCATTTTTTATTTTAGATAAAAGAGATTATTATCATTAAAAATTTATAAAACAAAACTAATTAACACATAATTAAAAAAATTGAACAGAAATATATATATATATATATATATATATATAATAAATATGAGATTTATTTTATGGAGGTGTACGAGTATCAGTAAATAATGATCAAAACCATAATATATAAAAAAGATTGATTTGTAAAAATTAACATGTACTTAAAAAAAATTGAACGAAAATATAAAACAGCACGTTATATCATTATAAAAAAAATGTGTCCCAATATTATTAGTCGTTGAGAACAAAATTCTTGGGAGAAGTTTCCTAACCACATTCTATGTACATGCTGAAACAAAACAAAATTAGACATAAATACTCAAAAAATGAAAATAATTTATTTTAGATGCACCTAAACACATAACAATAAAAATTCATATAAAATAATACAATATTATAAATTTAATATATTAATAATATTAACTATTATAGTTTTTGATAAATTACTATTTTTAAATTTGATTTTTTATTAAAAAAATCATGAATAAAAAATTGTTATATACTTGTTTTATGTCATGTAATGTTACACATTAAAAAATTATATTAAATTTTATAACTTTTATATATATATATATTTATATATATATATATATATATTCTATCTCCTGTTTTCCTTGTTGCTAAGGCGACTTTTCATTTTTCTCTCTTGATCAAATCGACCCTTCGTCTCACTCTTCCGCCTGTCTCCGAATTTCAATTTTTGTCGCTTATTTGACGATGTTATAGGAAGCGACGCTTTAGGAGTTCCGTTTCTCATCGTAACTGAGACGACTACGCTCACATGAGACCTCATCCTCCGATTTCAACCTAAGGTATCATCTCTCTGTCTCATGCCCTAATATCCCTCACATTTACTTTAGATCTTAACATGATACTTCTCATTCTCTTTCTTTATGCCTTGTTTCTTTGTTTTTTTTGTTTTTTTTTTATCTGCATTAGGTTATATGGCCTTAGTTTAGCATTCAGGGGAGTGATGATAAGCAAGACAAAGGGGAAATTGTATCCCAAGAAGTGAAAGTGAAGTGTGATTTTTTAATTTTGAAACAATTAATTAATGAATGTTACTTTCAATGAGTAGATAATGTTAAATGATACTTGACATGAATTTGGGTGGCATGTGACCTTAGGAGAGGATTATTTTTAAAAATGTTTCAGGTTGTTCATAGTCTTTATTGCCTGTAGTGAGTGTAATCAAAGGCTCCAGCCATGTTGTCGTTCTTGGGACTCTTAGCCACAGCTTGTTTAGGTTTTTGTTAACCAAACATGTTAACCTTTTTGTTTTCATATGAAACTTATGCTTGAGAATTAAGTTATACGGAAGTCTTTCCCTGCTTTTCTTTTCCAAGTTAACACCTTTATTCAACAAGGCATGTGATTTTTGGAGCCTCTTGTTGGAGTGAGAGTTTGGAGAATATGCTGAATTCAGAGGCGTCAGGAGGAATGGCAATGCCAGTCAATGATGGTCATTCTGAAAAAAGACGTAGGATGCCGATGATGGAAAATGGAGACTTCACTTTCCTTGCTCGGCCCATGTATAAGAGGCGTAAAATTTCTGCAGTTCGTGATTTCCCAGAAGAATGTGGATCGTCCGCTTCAGTGATTGATCCGGTGTTAAAGATAAATATTGCAGGTTGTCATTCTGCTGATGGTACAATTGTTGAGGATAAGAATGGGGAACAATTTGGGGGTAATACTGTTGTAATTTCCAAATGTGAAAATGGTCCTCAGCATTCTGAGTTTCAAAATGGTTCATTTATTACTGAGAATCTTGGCCAAACAACCGACTGTTATTTGAACAAGGAAAATTCTGTGGTCCCATCTCATCAGGTGGATGGGCTTACTGCCAATGCTGAACATGCAGAAGTTCCATTAATGAACATGGTAACTTTGGATACAGAGCCTGCAAGACTTGCAGACTCTGTAAAATGTGATTCCTCTGATTTGTTAAAGTCATCTTCTCCAGTGGATGAGGTGGCTGTATTAGATGGTTCAAAGTCTTTATCTTTCAATGTCTATTTACCTGGTTCCAGTACTTGTAGTGAGGAGGTTGTATGTCCAAGGGATTTTCCTCAAAGAACAGTTTCTGCTGTTAGAGACTTTCCCCCTTTCTGTGGACGTAATGCTCCACGTCTCAGTAAGGATGTGTGTCTAGAGCAGATCTCTTCATTGAATAATGAGAAAGTAGACTTGGCTGTAGGTGACAATCCATTGAAAGGCGTAGCAGTAACCGATGTAAAAGAAGTGAAAAATAATGTTCAAGATGAACACCGATGCAAGGGGAAGCTTGTGGACATCATTCAAACTGATTCTGAAAGGAATGCTACAGAGAGAGTGAAGAAGCTAAATGTATTTGAACCAACTTCTGAGGTGAAATTGCGCATGGAAAACACAAGTAAAAAGTACGTTACACTTCCTGAAAAAGGTAATAATCATCATCAGGTTAAAATAAATTCCAAGTCGGAGGTAAAAGAGCAAAACAGGGATGGTGTACTGGCTGATGCAACATCAGGGCTAGAGATTATAGTTCATCCAGATGTCCAAAGTCCCATGACAAAGCCTTTAAACATGTCTAGTTCTCAGCATAAGTTGAAAGGAGATTTTAATCGATTGCAGGTCTCATTGGACAGGAAAGTAGTGCTAGGTTTGATGGCTACATCAGAATGTCCTTGGAGGTCTGATAAAGTTTTTCGCAAATATAAGTCAGTTGATAGTACAAAGAAAAAAAAGGGAAAGAATTTGGATTCTCTTGCACCTCTTGGAAGGTCTAAATCTGCTATCAAGACAAAAAAAGGTGCATTGAATCTTTCTGGGAAGAAGTCTTTGAAAAGTATAAAAGGAAGTGCTGCTTCTGAAGGTATGAATCAATTAGTAATTTGGGAAAAGACGGATTTTCTTGATGCTATTGAAAATATTGAAGACCTTCAAGTTGTTTCAAAATCACAGAGTTTCAATGTAATTGTGCCTCCCCCTGGTCATTCTAGTGGTCATGTGAATGACTCGAATGTGACCCGAAATAAAGTGAGGGAAACATTACGTCTGTTTCAAGCTGTTTCTAGAAAGCTTTTACAGGAAGTAGAATCAAAATTAAAAGAGCGAGCAAATAATAAGAGGGTTGATTTGCAAGCTGCAAAGATCCTTAAGGAGAAAGGGAAATATGTTAACTCAGGCAAGCAGATCCTGGGATCTGTCCCTGGGGTTGAAGTTGGTGATGAATTTCAGTATAGGGTGGAGCTTAATATAATTGGGCTTCATCGTCAGATTCAGGGTGGCATAGATTATGTGAAGCACAATGATAAAATCCTTGCAACTAGTATTGTTGCATCTGGGGGCTATGCTGATGATTTGGATAATTCAGATGTCTTGACATATACAGGGCAGGGTGGAAATGTGATGAACAGTGATAGAGAACCTGAAGATCAGAAGCTTGAGCGGGGCAATCTTGCTTTGAAGAACAGTAGTGAGGAAAAGAATCCTGTTAGGGTGATCCGTGGCTATGAATCAACGGATGGAAAGTGTAGGACATATGTTTATGATGGACTCTATGAAGTTGAGTCATTTTGGCAGGGTAGGGGACCGCATGGGAAACTGGTTTTTAGGTTTCGCCTGCAGAGAATCCCCGGCCAACCAGAGCTTGCTTTGAAGGAAGTGAAGAAATCTAAAAAGTTCAAAACAAGAGACGGTCTATGTGTTGATGATATTTCTTATGGAAAAGAGAGAATTCCCATATGTGCTGTGAACTCCATAGATGACGAAAAACCCCCTCCATTTAATTACATAACTAGCATTATATACCCTGGGTGCCATCTTGTTCCTGCAGAAGGATGTGATTGTACTAATGGATGCTCTGACTTGGAGAAATGTTCTTGTGTGGTGAAAAATGGGGGAGAGATCCCATTCAATCACAATGAGGCTATTGTAGAAGCGAAGCCTCTGGTGTTTGAGTGTGGACCTTCTTGCAAGTGTCCTCCAACATGCCATAATAGAGTCAGCCAACGGGGTGTAAAGTTTCAACTTGAAATTTTTAAAACCCAAGAAAGGGGATGGGGTGTGAGATCCCTGAATTCAATCCCTTCGGGTAGTTTTATCTGCGAATATATAGGTGAGCTTCTTGAAGAAAAGGAAGCTGAACAAAGGACTGGAAATGATGAGTATCTTTTTGATATTGGAAATAACTACAGTAACAGTACACTTTGGGATGGACTTTCAACACTCATGCCCGATGCACAGGCAAGTTCTTGTGAAGTTGTGAAGGATGGTGGCTTTACCATTGATGCTGCTCAGTTTGGTAACGTGGGGAGATTCATCAACCATAGTTGCTCCCCTAATCTTTATGCTCAAAATGTCCTTTATGATCATCATGACACCAGGATGCCTCACATAATGTTCTTTGCTGTTGAGAACATTCCTCCCTTGCAAGAGCTTACTTACGATTACAATTATGCAATAGATCAAGTACGTGATTCTGAGGGCAATGTTAAAAAGAAGTATTGCTATTGTGGTTCTGTGGAATGTTCTGGTAGGATGTATTGAGAGGCCTGGCAAGGTTAATTACTAGAAAAGTGAGTTATTTCCGTCTTTACCCAAAACTTATATCCATACAAATTTAAACTCCATTTTTGAGCCATGATAATCTTTGCTGTCAATCTTGTTTAAATATCACAATGTCATGGACGATTCTTGGTATTATTTTTCAATCAAGATTAAAATTTTACAAAACGAACACGACCAACTCGACTCAAAATAAGATTAGGACCATGAATTACTATAAAAATGTCACAATATTTCATTATTTCAGTATAAATTAATATTTTTATATAAAACTTGACATTTTTTAATTTAATTTGATAATTATTGAATCACTTATTTATAGTCAGGTTGGTTTAGGACTTGTATCGAAAAATGAAAAAATAACCTAATTTTTTCATCAAAATTGACCCCACCTGTATCATCCTTGATCCAATTATGTTTGTGTATATAACTTGGCTTGTTAGAGAATCATTGTCAATTGGAGCGTTACGACCTACGGATACGGGATCCTCCCTCTCGTTGGGGTGGGAGTTCAAATAACCAAATAAATTTATACAAAATATGACAATCGAATTTTAAATTTTGTTCACAAACGTTCAAACTCAATTAATTTAAACAATTCAATTTAATTAAACAAATTAATAAGTAAGATCATAATTGGATTTTGAAGATGCAAATTTAATCATCTGCAGATGGTATGGTTTTCTGCAGCTTTGATGAACCTGACTTAACATAATAACGTATAAAAAGATTAAAATATTTTATAATATTTATATTTTAATATTTTGACAGTTATTTTAAGTTTGATTTTTTATGATAATTTAAACATAAATTAATATTTTTTTATATAAATTTAATAATTGTTAAATTTTATTGATTACAAAAATATTTTTATTTTTATGTACAAATATGATTATTCAATCCAAACCAACCCCTTTATAATTAGGTTGAATTGATTTGAATCACCTATAAAAAAAGGAAAAAATTAACCTAACTCAATATGTAATGTTTTGATAAAGCTGAGTAATTTTTTTAGTTTAAATCTCATACACCCTTAACACTCTTAGGGAGCGTTGTGCTTCTTCCAGAGTACTTATGGTTTGGATTGAATCGATTTTGAAATAAATGAATATTTGAATCTATTTTAAAATAAATTAACAGTAAATTTAAATCGATTTGATAACGATCTTAAAATTGAACTAAATTAGATTAATTTTTGTATTGGTTATTTAAATTTTTTTCTTATTATTTTTAAGAAATAATAATTTAATTTTATAGTTGATAAAAAAACAAAATTTAATCAATTAAAGTATACATTCAGTCTTAAAAATCAGTATATAATTTTTTATGTGACTAATTTTATATTTAAGAGACGACATTTATTAAATAAAAATTAAATATCAAACAAATATAAAAAAGACTTGTGAAAAGTTTAAATTCCTTTATTAATCAAATTTTTGTTTAAATTATGAATCGTGAATGAAAATAAACTCATTTTATAAAAAAATATATGAATATATTCAATAAAATATATTTGAGGTTAGTGTTAACATAAGAATGAAATAGAAAAAATTAACATGAGTTTTAGTATGTCCGTAATTCAGTGTGGTTTGACTTAATTTTAAACATGAAAACTGAATTGAATTGCATAAAAAAGGGATTTCTTTTAGTTTTTAAATTTTTTTATAGTATTTAATTCGTTACTCTCTTTTTTCTTTTTTCTTTTAATCAATTTATCAGTTTAGAATGATTTAAATCGACACTCTTATTCTTATTATCCTCAATTGAATGAACTCTTCTTGTAGTACCCTCTGTAGATAATTATTAGGAAACTAAATTTATTAGGTGCAAAAACTTGATACTCGTAGTAATTTTCATCGACAAATTCACTTTTATTTAAGCAATTAGATTTGTGGGCAGAAAATTTAACCATAAATTTATTAGATTTGTTTAATTAATAGTTTAATTACTAGTTTTTTTTTCTTTCTAAACTATAGGTATTTTTTATTGAAGGTAGGTAAGTGTTAAATTCATTCTTTTAGTTTCTTTAACGATAGCATTATGTGGATTTAAGTTGATTAAACAGTTTTCTTTCCTTCTTCCCAGTCTTGGGGCTCTTTGGCAAAAGGGACAACAGAAAGAGCTCTTCCTCCCCAATACTTTCATTATTGTCCAAAGCAAACCCCTTAAATTTAATATCATAGCAGATATAAACTTGCCCATGTGGGATGAGTTACTGAAAATATAATTTATTATTCAATCAATGATCTAACAATACAATTTTAAAATTAAAAGTTAAACATATTAAAATTATAAATAGTAAATGATTCTATTATTTGCTTGATAGTATATGTAGCTAGCTATAAACATTACATTCAATTGAAAAGAAAATTAAGTGTCAATGAAATATGATAAAATTACATTTTACAATTTCATAGATAATTAAAATGAGAAGACCATATCGTCAGTTGATTTGGACCAAAACAAGTTTTAAAAAATAAAGGATTGTTTTTTAATCTTCTTTTTCCCAATCTTCCACTAATGTCCATGTCAATAGTTGTTGAGCAAGAACCAATGATGCTTAGTTTGGCTCGTCGAAGGCATTAGATAACATTAAGGGACTCATTCAAGTACAGTACTTAGCCAGTGACACATGCATGCCACTTCACTTTAATTTTAACAATAACAAAGTTAATGTCATTCCTTTTGGCATTAGCAGCCAAATACCATCAAGGGAGGAAAGGTACCTTTTTATTTATTTATATTTCGTTATGATTCATATGCAAAGAGAATATGAATCCCCCACAGTTTCTAGTCCCCAATACAAAGAGTACTACATCCACCCACAACACAGGAACATTCTTAGAATGACACAAACCATAAACAATAGAACACTATTAACCTAATCACTACAAATGCCTTCTGTTCCTGGGATCAGAAAGTACTTTTTTCATTTTAAGTAAGTTGAATTTCCGAGTCATAAACAGCTCCCGCTTCCCAGTTACTAGAGATCACATTCTTGGACTCTGCCCAATATTGCTCTGCATTACTCCTCAATTGGAACCTCAACTTGATCTCACCCCTTGGGGGGTTCTCTGCGTCAAATACTATCCCAAATGCCCTACGCATTGGCCTCCACTCTTGGCAATCTTCCTGCTCCATCAACATTACAACAACCCAATTCAGTTTCAAGGGTAGTAATTGAATATTATAAACTAACAACCACAGATGTTTTAGTGCATGTGGAAAAATTTATGGTACAATTATTGTACCTTAAAACTTCTTTTACATTAAAAAGTAATGTTTTTTAATACCCGATAAATACAACGTGAAATGGGTAAAAAGAAAAGCAAGATATAAAAAATGGGTAAATTTTTTTTAAAAAAAATTATATTAAATTTAGATTAAAATAAACAAATATATGTATGTATACCTGCCACAACTCTACAGCAGTTACGTCGTAAGTGCCACCAACATAGAGAATTACAATGGCTAAGTAGTGAGGGTTTCTGCTACGATCATGGACCTTAACCAAGAGGTTATAGCTACCGTATCTACAGGGGACTCTTCTGTATTCTACATCCACGACACCGTATTTGAAAAGCTCTACAGATGCATCTGTGTTTCTCCCCAATCTTGAATAGGCACGTGGACTCATGATAAAGTCTGTTCTGTCTCCCTCACCATAATCTGTCACCACCACGTATGCTCCATTCTCATCACAGAATTGTGCTATTTTACACCTAACCTGATTCAACATCATTTCATATTTGACAAATAATCAAATACTAGTGGAGGTTGGCAAACTTTTCCCTTTATATTATGTTGCATATATTTATCCTATAATTTGTTTCAATGATGAGGTCTTCTTTCACTGAGGATTATACTGAATTAATTATTAAAAGAAAGGAAAGAGATTATCATATGTATGATTCGAAAGATCAAGGTATTCAATCTTTTAACTTAGTGGTGTAGAATAGGAAAGTCAATAAAATAAATATTTTCGCATGAAAAGCATGTTTTGAGGTACAAATATTTTTATGTGAAGAAGGCTATAATAGTGTTTTTTTTTTCTTGATTAGTTCATAAAATTAAGATGGTTTATCAAGTGGAGAAACCTGATAACATGCTCCACAGCCAGATCCATTCCTCCATAGCCATGACACGCCTGCCACATTGCCATCGTTTACCGTCTTTCCATAATCGCCATAACCACAAGCTCCTCCTAAAACATTATCAATTGACCAATTAGATCATGTGTGTGCAAAAGTAGTATAATGTCTGGCTTGCACATTTTATTGTCTAGACTATGCCCTTCATCTTAAAGGAGGAGCATGCATCACCCATAGTAAGTTCTTCCAAAAACAATTCTTTATTTAAAAACATTAATTGCAGTTCAAATATCAGGAATCATGTGTCAAAATATACCCCCTCCCCTCAACAAAAAATAAGGCCCTTAACATGGTTACATCCTAATTCCTAGCCAGATAGTGGTAGTTGCGCATGACTTATTATATGTGCGCAAACAATATAAGAATGTGTTAGGTACACACACCATATATACAATATAAATAAACAAGTGCAATCATGGATGGAAAAGAAGGCTTTCATACTTGGATTTCCATAACAATCTGGGCTACCGTAATAGGTTGCTCTGGAGCAAGTAGAAAAGTCCTGAGAGGTACACAGGGCAGGTAAAAGCAGTGTGGCACAAAGGAGGCCAAGTTGGTACTTTAAACTAAGTTCCATGTTAAATGACAAAGTGTAGAGCACAGAGAGGAGAGAAATGCAGCGAGTATTTAGCAGTGATAAATGCAAGCAACTAAAGCATATATGTGAAGCTGGAATAACTATCAACAAGAGAATGCTTAATGGGATAGAGAGCAAATATGTGTAGTCATATTTATAGTACAGGCCTACGGTCTAGGTGGTAGGCAATTTTATTTCCACTTTTTTTTTTTCCCTTTCACTTGAAAGTTGAAACTATGGAATGCAAGAGGATTGGAATAATGATGTGTACATATAGACCCTATTCAAGGGCCAGGGTCATCATATGTTAGAACCAATTTATTATTATAATGCCAAGGTGCCTAACTTTGTTCTATTGTAACTGTTCTCTTAGATTGGAAGATCCATACACTTGCAGCTCAAATCAAGGTTTCTAATCCTGATAGAAATTTTAACCAAAGAAAACAATGGGAATTCTAAGATATTGGTAGATACTCTTGCATATTTATCTACCTTATCCCCATGATTTTCTTGAAATTCCTTATTGGTATTGCTGATAGAGGAAGAGGGATGTGAAAAGTACATAAAGATCTTTAAGCTATATTGACATACTATCATGTGCCTAGTGTAGGCTCAAACGATAAGAGTTTTATGTTCCCCTTAAACCAAAACAGACAAAAGATTTGAACAATTTTATTCATTGATATTAACCTGGGTTTTGAAGTTATCATGTAGAGTATGTGGTTCAATTCAAATACTATTAAGTGTGAAAAGATTATGATCTCAATGACACACTCCATTGCCTAAGAATAGGGACGATTGCAATTCCTCCTTGGATATTATTCAAATTACATATATCTTTTGTATCTTTTTCCCTTCAATCAAAACAAATAATACTTCAATAAAAAAAACAGATAATTAAGAAAAAAAATTGATATAACAAAAAGAAATTATTTTGTTAACGTGTCAATGTTCGTACTAAAAAAATGAATCAGGAAACAAATTGATTTCCTTTCAGAATCCTTCGTTGCTTGATAATTCCTTATCTCCCTATCCCGACAAAACAAAATTAATGCAAATTAATTGTAAAAAATAAGCTTGTTAACAAAAATTACTCAACCCAACATCATGTTCATTAGTAAGATTCATTCTCAGTCTTTAAGTAATTATAGTCATATCAAGTGTTAAATTTAAATACTTATATAATTTAATATTTTTTATAAAATATAAAGTTTATTAATCTAATGATCGAATCATTTTAAATTATTTTTTTAGTTATATATATATATATATATAATTTTATAAATACATTATTTAAAATTTAATATTTATTTATATTTTAAAAATATATCACTTGTTAAAATAAAATAATGTAATAAAATATTTAATAATTTTTTTTATAATTGATATACATTTTAAGAACATTCAAATTAACAATTGAATTAATTAATTTTATATTTTATAAAAAAATTTAAATAGCATAACTGTAAAACTTTGAAACATAATTTCCATAAATTTCCCTCTAATTATATAACTATTTATTTTATTTCACACAAAAACTAAATTTTATTAATTATCCTGATAAATATGAGAGGGAAAAAAAAATAAAATGTAACATGATAGAATACATAAATTGATGAAGAAAGGAAAGTCAGAAACAAGTGGATTAGATTATGATTTCACGTGAAATCGCTTAAATATCTAGCAGCCACGTTGGGTTGTAACGCACCCAGTGCAGCAGACCACTCACTCTCAGTAGTGATTCGTTATTTAGTATCAGCACAAGTTGCAAACTATATTCAACTTTGGACGCGTTAAGAGCAAATCACAAGTTTTCTTACATAATTCTTCTACTCTCACCATCATCATTAGGTTTCCCAAGATCATTAATTCAACAGACTTTAATTTGGATTAAGTTAAACTTAAAATAAATTAACATATCACTTTTCTTTATTACATAAGTGAGATTCATGTTTTATGTCTGAAAAATATGTATTAAAAAGGTGGTAAGGGGTGTCACATCAGTATTTTTGACGTAAAATCACTGTGCATCATGATCCTTATTATGACAGGTAAGAGCTAGATGGTTCTGTTGTGGGAATTGTTGCATCAATTGTAGAGCAAGTGTTAGTCACCCGTAGAAAAGGAGGCATCAAAAAACTAATATGAATTGGAGTAGGTGCTTCTTAATCCAACCCGTCCATTTGGTTACTCCTCTCTTTGTCCACGAAGCTTCCCAAAGAGAGAGCTCAACCCTGAACAGGAGTTCTCGTTTCAGCTTTCAAGCTTTTTTCCTTTGGACAATGGACAAATTTAATATATATCCTCCCTTTTTAGTTTTTGCATGCATTTTGTAAGAGCTAATTAACTTTTATTATTGTAAATTAAAGTTTGATTCAATATCAAATCATCTGATCATATAATATTATTTATACTACTGAGTGCTTATATAGCCTCTACCAAGGTGGTTCGCACTTGGCCTCTAAGAACGATTTATTAGATAATTTTAACAGTATTCAAATATGGGATGCATAAATTATTGTTAATATAGTGGATGTTTAAAAACTTGATAAAATAATATTAAACCAAGTTTTAGTGAATTGCGTAGAAACAAACAAGCCAATGACGTTTCTTCAGCACGTACGGACGTTGTCATGCTTGGAGCTTCTCTGCTTTTTTACATGCATTAATTGTACCAAGCTTTTAAAATAAATGCATGTATCTTTTATATATCTTTTTAAATAAATGAAATTATATATATATATATATATGTAATTTGACAATAACAAAATTATACCACTCTTTTAATTATATTATTTTCTCTTCTTAAAATTCTCTTTCAGTATGGTTGAGAAGTTGAGTCTTTCACTTTCCATTCCCCCAAAAGAAACCCCAATTTTAGTGCAAAACAGATACGAGCATCAGACTCCACCAAGTTTTGTTAAGTTGAGCTAAGTTAACCATCTATAAATAATTTTGTAAAACATTATATATTTATTATTTAAAATTATAAAATATAATAAATTTTAATAAAATATTATTATTATTGATTATTAATTATTTATCTTGAGGTTCAACATTTTTCCATACATAATTATTGCTCTCTAAAAGGCCATCCCTTTGTGGAAGCTTCATAATTCCAATGTCTCCTTTCCTCGCACTGGTGTCCACCACGTGTTCGGAAACAAACAACCAAGCAGCAACATATCAAGCTAAAACGTTATAAATATTTTAATTTTACATTAATAATTTAATGAAGCTCCAAATAATTGAAAGAATTTTAATATTTTTTTTATGTCAAGAATGATTTATACTTAATTTTAAATGTAATTTTTTTATTTGATGTTAATTTAAAATTAATTTTATACGTTATTTTATGATTGTATAATTTAAAGAGGGTGTTCTACGTGTGGCTTCTCATAATTCCTTTATAGAGGGTGGGAAGAGGAATAATTGCTTGAAAAGAACAAGCAATTGAAGAGGCTACTTATATTGCACTTCTTAGTGGAATGAGTTGAAAATAATTGAAACTTGAGAGATTGTGGATGTCTCTGTCAATAGAACCTTACTATTAAGATCACTATTATAAGTGACCCAGCAAGCTTAGCCCACAACACGTGTTCAAAAAGTTAAATAACTTGGGGCTTTTGGGCTTCCTTTTTTGGTAGAAACGCTGTTACAGTACTATATCAGGCAATTAACCAATCTTGACCAAAAACAAAGGAACAAAAAACTTTCACGTGAGCTAATTATTATTTTTTAAAAATTTTATTTGAGAGTTAGTTTTAGAAAAAAGAAAACAAGAAAATCATTCTTATTTAAAAATTTTCAGATGAGAAGAAAAAACTTTATAAACATTTTAAAATTTTTGTAATTTTAAATTTTTAAGTTCTCTCAGCATAGAATATTTATTAATTTTCTTCAGTCTTTTTAATTCTGCAAACTCTTTCTTTCATTCTCTGTTTAAACTAAATATTTCTCTATTTAAAAATTTTATTTGTCATTCTTTAAAATCATCTTTATCGTATATTAATGTTTATTTATAAGTTAAATGACATAGAACATTACTAAAATAAACAAATCGTTTAATCCGTATATAAATTGTTTTGTAAAAGATAAGAATATTCAATATCTCTTTTAAAAAACCTATTCGGTAAACTTGTTTCATGGTCGATTTTTTAAATTAAAATATTTGAAAGATTTTATAAATATAATTTATAGTTTATTTTTATAAAATTTTTAATATAACTTACTAAAATTTATGACTAAATTTGTGTTTACTTCTACACACTAAATTTTATTAAATAAAAAAATAATTAAACTGCTTACTCAGTTACGACTACTAGTATGGATACTCTCGAAATCCCAAAGGTGGATTCCATGAGAGCATGACCCCATCCTTGAGGGCGAACTCACAGAGCTACCATCTACGTTTAGTTTGACAAATTTGGCAAAAATAAAATACAACTGAAAATCAATTAATACTTTTTCATTTTCTGTGTGGGTGAAGTGCATTTCAAAAATAATGATGATACCCATTTATCCTATAAATAGGAAGTAATTAAAATGAAAGAAAAAAAAAGCGAAATAAACGAAAAGGTGGGTTGATACAGAGAAAGAGATAAAAAATAAGAAAAGTCAAAATATAATGGAGATACATGAATATCGTTATTATTTAAATAAAAATAACTATTATAAAGTTATTTCAAGCAAAAGTGAAGGTGATCATATTACTTTTGTTTTTATTTATTTGTTTAAATAGAAACGAAATTAGATCTTCCTTGTAATCAAATTGACTCACATCACATTCACATGTGCCACTACTAACTATGTTCTCGTTGTCGTTGATAGATACATGTAGTTTAAAACCCACAATTGAGAAATTAATCAAGCTAGCAATGGTAACTGCAATGGCCTTGTTTTCTCCTCCGACTCATTTCTCAACCGCACCTTCCAAAACCCATTTTATTTACAGTCCCTTCATCATTCTCAGACCCAACAGCCCTTTGTTTCTACTCTCACCCTTTAAGGTTTCAGCTCTCAATGAGGTTGGACCCATATCTTCAGTGCACAACAATGGGTCTGTTGCTGCAGTGGTCGCTGCTTTTGAGGACCCAAGATGGCTTGGAGGAACGTGGGACTTGACACAGTTTCAGAAAAATGGCAACCCTGATTGGGATGCTGTTATTGATGCGGGTCAGGTTATGAGTTTTACTGTAGATTTGTGTAATGTGTTCTTTGTAGTTAAGGATTCCTTGCTAATTGCTAGATATTTTAATTTGACTAGATTGAAATTTGAAACTATGTTCGATTTCTCGCGCATTTTGAACTCAAATTCTAAACACATGAACAGTTAATTTAAGGATTTGTTGTCATGATGCTTATTTTCCATCATCATTATTATTTTTAATACACACTTCCTCATCTAAGCGTGTGTGTGTGTAAGAGGAGAAAATGGCTTGAGGACAATCCGGAGTCATCAAGTAATGATAAGCCCATAGTTTTTGACACCACCATTATACCTTGGTGGGCATGGATGAGAAGGTTACATCTTCCTGAAGCTGAACTACTTAATGGTTAGTACTTGCTTAGTTCTGATTAATATTCTTGAAATTAGAGACTAATTAAATTGTTTTAATAAAAAGAATTCATTTCTGCTCATGCAGGTCGTGCTGCAATGATAGGATTCTTCATGGCTTATCTGGTTGATAGCTTGACAGGGGGAGGTGGAGTTGACCAAATGAGCAACTTCTTTTGCAAAATTCTTTTGTTCATAGCAGTGGCTGGAGTAGTTCTGGTTAGAAAGAATGAGGACATTGAAACTCTTAAGAAGCTATATATGGGAAGAGACTACATTTTGTGACAAGCAATGACAAGCAACCTGGAAGAATGAGAATTCAAGCACTTCCATAACAGATTAGAGGATTTTCTTTGTTTGGAGTTTCTCTTCTCCTTTGTCTCCCTTATATAGATTATGTCTTTCATCCTAGTACAGAAAGAATGATCCGATTGTTTTTGTATTTTTGCAATGAAGGAACTTTCTTCAGCATCCAGATTTCGGTTCTTGTTAACACGACATTTAACATACAAGCCAAGTAATAATAAAAAAACAATGATTCAAAGCGCCAATCTGAGAGCAAGATAAAGAAACACATCTAGCATTAACTTCACGTGTAGTTCTCAGGCAAAAGTGATGCTCAATTACTAAACTGTACTAACTAAACTAAACTCAAACAACAAAGGTAAAAAATGAGCCTATTGGAGAATGGATAGGTAAAGAGAAACAAAGTTTCTCAAACATTGATACAATTGCAAGTCTTTCCTTAAGCTTCCCAACCCCTCAAAAGAGTAGCACGAGCAACGCGGTTGACTCCTAGAGTGAAGGCTCCCATTCTCAAGTCACAGTTATGAATTTGACACATTGCCTTTATGTTCAGGAAAGCTTTAGTCATATACTTTTTAAGCTCATAGTTCACTTTCTCTTCGTCCCACATAAATCCCTGAATATTCTGCAGGACCCAAACATAGAAATTTTTAAATAAAAATTTTGCTTTCAAGTTAGCCTGAGGGTTTTGTTGATTGATCACATTACCTGAACCCACTCAAAGTAGCTTACAGTCACTCCACCGGCATTAGCATATATATCAGGTAATATAATGACTCCTTTCTTAGTCAATATCTGCAACAAAAGAAATCACTCACTTCCATTGTCTTATATCAATTCCGCACATCTCATCTCATTCTAAACAACAGAACAATAACCTTACCTCATCAGCATCTGGGTCAGTTGGATGATTTGCAGCTTCTATTATAAATTTCGCTTTCACATCACCAGCATTTTCCCTTCAACACCAAGAACAACATACAAGTTTCACAAAATATAAAAAAAGTAAAATTGATTTTCTTATAGATAAATAATGTTGATCCTTGGAATTAAGGTAAAAGATTAGTTGAAAAGAGAATCCAAAATGAGATTATTGTTGATGATTTCTGAACTTGGGTGACTTAGATAAACATACTTGTTGAGAACTCCTCCCAAGGCACATGGGATGAGCACATCACATTCATGCACAAGCAATTCATGTGGATCCATTGAATCTGCTCCTGCAAAGTCCATCAAACTTGCATTGCCTTCCTTGTGTTTCAGAAGAGCGGTGATATCAATTCCATTTGGGTTTCTAATGGCACCACTGATGTCACTCACAGCAACCACCTTACCCCCTCTCTCATGAATTGACTTTGCAGCCCATGAACCCACGTTTCCAAACCCCTAGACGGATAAGAGAGACAAATAATTATAATCATATACATCAAAGTGGGACTAATATCTATAATCAATGTCAATGAACCGTGATGATGGCATTGGTGGTGAAGTAATATTTACCTGGATAACAAATGTCATATCAGAAATTGACTTCCCGTATTCAGCAAACAAAGCCTCTGTGGCAAAAATCACTCCAAGTCCTGTGGCAGCCTCTCTTCCCAATGAACCTCCAAGATCCTGAAGGACAAAACATTTGAGAATGAAAACCAATATCTGAATATTAAGTATACAAAATTATCATTGGGTAGACAAGAAAAATTGTATATTATGCTTATCATACTTACAATAGGCTTCCCAGTCACAACAGCTGGTGAATGCCCATGAAACTTTGAATACTCATCAAGAATCCAAGCCATTGTCTGTGAAATATTGGACAAATGAAGATACTGTGATATATGAAACTACTAGCTGCTGTTGCTTGACATAAGAAATGTGCATAATTAAAGTATATATATAAGGACATTGAGTGAGTACTTGTGCATTAGTTCCCATATCAGGAGCAGGAACATCCCTCTGAATGCCAATGAGATCATGGATCTTTTGGGTGAAGACACGAGTGAGACGTTCTAACTCGCTTATGCTAAGGTCCCTTGGATTGCACCCAATGCCACCCTTTGCCCCTCCATAAGGAATGTCTGCTACTGCTGTCTTCCATGTCATTAGCTGAGCTAGAGCATTCACTTCATCAGGGTCAACCTGCCATCACAAAATACATACGAATATGTTTTTTATATTATGACATAATATTAAAAATAATACATTTTAGAAGTACATTAAAAGAACAAAATCAAATTTTAAAAAACCATAACTGGCGTTTTTATTCTCTTCTCTGTAAGTAACAAACAATATACACATGAGGAAGCAGCATAACCCTAAAAAAAACTGATATAAGTGTTTTCCCCTCCTTCCCTTCCCCTACAATTTTTTTAATAATTTTATAAAAAGTATTAATTGAAAATTTTAATATTTACTGGCTTAAATTTTTTTTAAAATATTTAAAATATTCTTTATGTAATAAGTGAAATAATAACAAAAAATGCTATAAGAAAATTTAGAATATTCAATCGATGCAACCTTCACAAAATTTAGCATATTAATATTAGCTTCAATTATAAGTATTTTGACGGCATTGATAAAAAAAAAAAGAGGTTATAATACAATAAAAATTACAGTGAAAGTGTATTAACAACGTTTCTTTCATTTAAAAACTATACACTTCACAGACTTTATTCTTCATTTCAAAGCTGATGTCATTTAAAACAATTTAAAGCTTGGTCAATTTTTTTGTCATATCATCGTTGAATAATTGTGTAAATAATTAATTCAAAAATATTCCAATTAACTGAATGAAAGAAGAAAAGATTAACTAGAAGTATAGTTAAAGGTATAATAAAATTTTACATTAATTAATAATTTAGCATGTATAAGTATATTATATCAATCTTTAAAAGCAATAATTTTGAAATAAAGGAATTTTTTAAAATAAAAATAAGCTTATAATTTTTAAAATACTATCCTACCTGTATTTAAGATTAAGTCATTTACAATAATAAGTTGAAGCAATGAATCTAAAAATGAAAACAAGCAATTGAAGAAGGGTCTTTTTTTATATGAGAAAAAAATAAAAAATACCAAAATACAGTATTTTGAAAAAAAAAACAAAAAATTTGAAAAAAGGCTGAGAGTTTGTTTGTTTTCTTTTTTAAATAGAGTTTTTTATTTTTGAAATTAAAAAATAAAAAAACTTACTTATTAATGTAAGTTTTAAAAACTATTTTTAAAAATTTTTTATTTTCAGTTTTTAAAACTGAAAAACAGAATTACTATTTAAGTGTTTTTGTTTCTATTTTTCTGTTTTTCTTTTTAAAACTAACAAAAGTTTAACTAAAAACAATTTTAAAAATTAAATTATCAAACAAATTAAATTTATTTTTTTTCCTAAAAACAGTTTTATAAAATAATTTTTAAAAATTAAAAATCAAAACTAAATCAAACAATTCCTAAATTTTGTATTATCTTTTTAAAAAACTCTAATCACAATTTTTTATTTTTAAAAGTTTTATTATTTTTTAAAAAATTGTGAGTGATAATTTTTTAATAATTTTTTTGAAAAATTGTCAACCACGATTTTTAAAACTTTATAACTCTCCGACCATCGTTAGTCACAATCTTTAAACTCTATATTTCTATAATTTTTTTAAAAACACTATCATATATATATACATATATATATATATATATATATATATATATCATCGTCCCAAAATCTGAATCTGGGTTCATGCACAACCAACAACATAGGTAGAAAAAACATGGAGAGAAAAATAAGAACCTCTGGGTGGTAACGAATTCCTCCTTTCATAGGTCCACGCGCATTGTCATGTTGGATCCTAAAACCAATATAGGAAGCCAACGTTCCATCATCTTTTGGGATCGTACATTCAACCTGCGAATCCAATACACAAACTCGTTTTAAGTAAATCCAAAAAGTGGGAACAATTAATAAACTTATACACACAAAAAAACAGAGAAGAAAAAAAACCTTGATTTCCCTGAAGGGAATTAGAAGGCTATTCTCAAGCTTAGTGTCCAAGCCAAGAATGCGTGCTGCACGTCGAAAGTTACGGTTTGTGGCTGCAAGAGCATTCATATCTAAATAGTGACAGTGAATTAAGATGATTCTGATTCTGATTCTGATTCTGATTCTATTCACTACAATAGTGAAAGTGAAGTGAATGGAGTTGTGCGTGCGAATGAAAAACTCTACACAAATCGACTATTAATTACGTTGGAGAAAGGGTAAAAGCGTAAGTAACTAATTAATCTATGCCATGCATATGTGACAGCATTCAATGCGAACAGGGTTTCAATGCAATCCACATTTACACAAAAATATACGCGTCAATGTATGGATGGCATTTTTTTACTGTAAAAATTATGTGCAAAATTACGTACTTTGTTCCCCTAAATTTTATAAAAATTATTTAAATTGCATACCAAAATCCCCTTTTTTCATATTTTGAAAGGATAAAAATATATAGAAAAGTATATATGATAAGCTGCCAACAAAGCTACACTTGGTACGGAGATAGTTCTCTTTGACCAAACCAACACCGCGTACCATGCTAAACTATCGGGTTGAGCGAGTTTTATTTTTATTTTTAAAGGAAAAGTTTAAAATTCACATACCTCTATTTCACTAATTATTTAAGTGAAACAAGATAAACACATTGAATTTTAAAAATGAGTTAGCTATAAGTATCATTTTTTTAAAATTTAAAATCATGAACAATTATATTTTTTATTAGCTAGATCCTAAATATGTGAAGGTCGTAAACTATACGGTAATTTTTACGACCAACCAATGCGTGCGCGCATAGAAGCGCTCATCGTTACTTTTTCTGGTTCGAAAGGTATATTTAACGTAGTTATGCCCGTATTTTCGACATAAAATATTTTAAAAAATAATATGTTCAATTTAATAAATCTGAATACATTATAATTCAATATCATTAATGCATTATTTAACAGAATAAAAAAATAAATAAACATCATTAATTTAATCAATAAATTCTTTAAATGGTTTTTATTTAAACAAAAAAATAGTAACGTGGGAGCTGCGGGCCGACCCATATCAAATTTACACACACGTCATGAATAGTAGATGGGTTTGAGCTAGATTAAAAAAGTTGAATTTATTCAAACTTTTAAATTTAAAGTTTAATTATTATTTTTTTCATAGATATATTCAGGCTGCACCAATTAAACCTACTAATTTTGTTGGCTTTAGCTTCGTGCTTAGAAAAGTTTTATAAGAAAAATGATTATGTGAAAGTGTGGCCAGCACATCCAGTGGAAAGAGAGGTGAGGATGAGGTCAATGCAAATTTGGATGACCCACTTGAGGAATTAATTGACAAAGAAAAAAGGGTCTCAGTGCCATTTAACTACCAATTGGATTGAGATGTATTAACAAATTAAATTCCACTCCCTTAGTGCTTTTCTTGAAAAAAAACATATACAATGTTGTGAATATGCTTGCCACTTTCTTATATGTCAACAATCCCTTGGTCCCTAATGTAAAACACACACAATTAGCATCATACAAATTTGTTCCAATAATGCATGGATCTAATTAATGCTTCGGTTCAAAGCTAATTGTGTAATTATTATGTGGGAAAAGAGAGCAATTGTGTCCAAGAGATTTAGATTATTATCATATATTACAGAATGAGGTAAGCCTGTGTTCATTTATCATTATTGTCCACGTTTACATGCATGGAATGTTAGAAATTTTTTGGATTTGAGTTTAACTTTATAAAATAGTTCAATGGATAATTGTGTTGTTTTAAATTTAATTATATAATTATATAATCTATAAATTTGAGAACTCTTATGTATAAATTTGTATTGAAAACAAAGTTTGATTGATAAGGATACATAAAAATGCTAGCAAGATAAATTTTTGTTTGTTTTGCTGCACGTAATCATGACATCACAAGCGTGGCATGGAATTCCTTCTCAAATTAAATGAAGGACAACTATATGGACCGGAAGCTTCTAAAATTTTCTAGGTTTTAAATTAATCTCAAATTAAAAAACCTTATAATATTTTCACAATAAACTTCTTTCTATTTTACTCTATCATATTACTCACCTTATCATTTTTTTTCTTCTCTTCATATTTCTCTAACTTATAATAAAAATTATAGAAAACTTCTGTACAAAAAACATTTCTCAATAACTATATATACCCTTAAATTTTCAGGGTCACAGAGGACATGAATATTGACCTTAACTTTTATATTAAGTAGGGTTTTGGTCTAGTCTTCATTATGCCTATTTCTTTTTTGAAAAAGAGAAAGCATTACATAATCTTGCTTGATTTAAATATAAAAACAAATTCTACCCCCAACTTCTATAACGGGTATCCCTTGATTTTATTTCTTTTTGAGGAAGTAATCTAAATTGTTGTAAGCTTGTTGGATATAATATGCACTGGTTGGCTGAACAAGCTTAAATTCAGGAGTAGCATCAACTTTTTTGCCTTTTTCAGTAGCATCTCAGAATTCCGTAAGGGGCAGGTAACCAACATATATAGGTACACATATTGGGACATAGATTTGTGGTGAAGTTCCATATGTAATCAACTTCAATCTTTTTTGTGTTATCTAAGAATTCCGTATGAGCTAGGTAACTAATGTAGTTGCATAGTGGCACATTAATCTGTTAAAGCCTAAATTCATGCAAATCACATCCAATCTACATAATGACGAAGAGACATTGCGAAGAAGACTAATAATAATAATAATAATAATATTTCCGTTTAACAAAACTAGCAATTGGACGTCCAATAGTGATTGATTGAAACGGAAGCACACAGTGAGTGATTCAAGAAAATCTTATTTGCAAGGTCAGGATTTTATATCCTAAAGTTTAATATGTATTGAGAAAAATTTTAAATATGAATAATCGATTTGCACTATATTAGTCCCGTGTTATGAGGATATATGCTAAACATTTGTGATGCTCTATTAGTTGCTGCATGAGCATGGTCTTTTGATAAAAGCATGTCTTTATACTTGACAACGCTTCTCAAGTCCTAAAATGATCAACCTAGAAATCATTCTTGCCAATGAAGATAATCAGGGAAGTTCATCGATACAAATGGGATTGGTGCATATTTGGACTTTTTATTTAAATAATATATTTTTTAAAAATAGATTTTTTAAAATAGATTTTTTTAAACTAATTTCTTATTTGATGTATTTTTTTTTATCACGTTAGCAGTAATATCATCTCTGTATCTTCTTATAATGACTGATATTACTCAGAAATTGACACTCTGAACATAAGATATGAGATAGAGCGATAGTAATGTGATATTTCTCGTTTGGAGGGGCCCACTTACTTTCTTTACCTACATAGAAGAAGATCTAACTTACTTCTATATTGAAATCTACTCTCTTCATTAAATTCCAAAACTAGGTCCATATTTTACTGAAATCATCGCTATCACTTTTCCTAAAAGGAAATGCTTCGGTGCTTCACTGAAATAGAAATTGACATTCTAAACTAGGCTTCTTGTTGTAATATTTAAACTTCTACCTTGTTATCCCAATTCCTGGTAACTCTAAGAAGTGCTCCAACACATGCCATTTGATGTCCTCCCTCAAAGTCTTGGAACCGTTCCTTCTGAACTATGTTCTAAACATCCAAAATGGGAATCCACAAAATTATGAAATCCCCTTTCTTGAAATTTTTTATTTCATTGCTTGGGTTTTCTTGCAACCTGCCTATGGATGGATTAAAAGCAAAATCTCATCTTGAACGCAAGATCCGATAAGAACAGCATCACCTATTTCTACTTGGCCCCTCTGAACAAGTATGTACATGGCAAGATAAAATATCATGTTACTATCGTTCCATCTTCTCCGATACATATCAGATATACTACTGTAAGACCATAGACTATTAAAATAATAATAATAATAATTTATTATCGTCTAGGGAGGAACATATTACTACTGACATAGCAAAACAAATACACAGGACATTAGTTTAAAAAAAAAACTATTTTAAAAATTTGTTTTTAAAAATATATTCTTTAAATAAAAAAAGCCGCATATTTGTGTACATGTGTTTCCAATGCCGTTAGGTAAAAATGCTATTCCCATAAGTAATACAAAGTAAATTATTAAAATAAGTTAAAAGAGTTAATAAGAGCAACAAGAAATAAATTTTTGAGAAGTCTTCATAGACAATATAACAAATTATAAATTTTTTCATAAATTAAAAACAACTTATTTTTTAATTTTTTTGGCACTTTTTTATTTATCTTTTCTAAAATTTAAGTAAATTAGTTGTTTTTAACTTATGATAGAAAATTTATTTAATTTTTATGTTAGTTTTTTTATTGTAAAAATTCCTCTATAAATTTATCTAAACTGAAACATAATTAATTATCATTACTGCAGTCTAGTTCTTTTCCCTTTATACATCCAAAGAAAAAGGCAATAGAAGATTAACCTTAAAGATAATGTTTTATAACCTGGAGTATCATTCTTGGACTGAATATTGTAAGCCCTGATAAATTATTTAAACAGAACGATTCCCTTTAACTAGAGAACTGACCCTTGTTCCGTTTTTTCTAATAGATATTATACATGTAACAACTTAAAATTGTGTAAGTGGCAACTGCACAATGTGATGTTCTGTGCATAATAACCAAGTCCAATTATTCTTGAGTTTTAGTCAAGAAATCTTTTGGTGTTTTTGGTGGATGATTGTCACATCTTTTAGAGTTTCATCTCCAAAGAAAATTCCAAAAGATTGGATCAAAGTCTCTCATAGTGATATTCCTCTTGGAAGTTAATTTTTTTAATAATACTTGGGCCAGTTCCCTACCATTGCTCAGTTTAGTTATACTGTTATTTACCATGTTCACTTTCATCAATAAAAATTCAATGCAGGTCTTCAACGACTACGGTCATGACTGAGAGTGGGAATGTGGGATAGAGAGGAAAAGGGCTTGCTTCAATATCCAAAATACTAAATTCAGTTTGGTATCCCTTAAAATTGGAGGTAATAAATCTAGAGTCGAATTACAAATTTTAATATATTTTTTAATAAAATTTACTCCAGTTTTAGGGGGATATCAAAACTTATCCTATAAGGCTATATTTAATTGATTGAATGGAATAAAGTTAGCGTTAATGTTTGAATTATTTAAGTAACAAGATATGGAATCAAACATGAAATTTGTTACATCTGGTTTTATTCAATACCTATAAATAGAGCAATTGTATATATATTACATATTTGTACAGTTTTTATAACAAAGAGTGAGATTAGAAAAGAAATAGAGAAATGTGGGATAAGATGGTTGGTATGATGGAAAGAAAGACAAAAAAAAATATTGTATGAATAATGTAACATTATAACTTAAACCCCTTTATTATTTACTAATCTCCTTATCATGCATTCCCCTTATATCCAAAAAAGAAAAACATGAAAAATTTCCTCCACTTCATCATAAAACATCAAAATAATGATATATAATTCTATTTCATCATCATTAAATATCCAAAATAGCCCACAGGACAAGGGTGTCCTTTGAGAAAGGCTAGGGACATGTGGGACATTGCAATAGGCCCCTTATCTAGCATCAACTCAGGAAATAAATTAAATCATGCATTGTTCCCTCTTCCAAATGCATATATAAAACCTTCAATCCATTTCTTACTGAAGCCAAGCCAATAACTCAGTAGTGTTTATAGCAACAATGGCTAACAATAACATCCATACTACAACAAACAACTTGACAAACTTGTCAAGTTACTTCCATTCCCTTTGCCAAACTCCTCAAAGGCTTAGAAAAAGAATGCTAGCCACTTGGACCCCAGACCAAGAACTCAACCAAGTGAGGCAAAGGTCTGGGGCAGACATGAAGAGGAATCTCAAATGGTATGATCTTGTAGCTCTTGGGCTTGGAGGAATGCTAGGTGTTGGTGTGTTTGTCACAACTGGCTCTGTAGCCCATCATCAATCTGGTCCATCAGTTTTCATATCCTATATTATAGCTGGACTTTCAGCTCTTCTATCCTCTTTTTGTTACACTGAATTTGCTGTTCAAGTCCCAGTAGCTGGTGGTGCTTTCAGTTATTTAAGATTAACCTTCGGTATAAAAACTTTTATTCTAGTTTATGGATTTTTCTTGGATTTTTTTTATTACTTGATTCTCTTTCAACCCATTGATTTAATTTCACTTCTTTATCATCTAAGACTTTTGAATTGGTGATGTAGGAGAATTTGTGGGATACTTTGCTGGGGCAAATATACTAATGGAGTATGTGTTCTCAAATGCTGCTGTATCAAGGAGTTTCACAGAGTATTTGAGCTTTGCATTTGGAGAAAATGATCCAAACGTGTGGAGAGTGGAAATGCATCATTTGCCAAAAGACTATAACATGTTGGATTTCCCAGCCGTGGCTCTTATTTTTCTTCTCACTCTCTGCTTGTGTCATAGGTTAGATTTATTTCTCACTTTTCACTCCAGTGAGATGTGTCACTTATCACTTTTATTAGCTTGGTGATTCATTGGATGAAAAATTTAATATATTATCTTGTTATGAAACAAATAAACTCCTTTTGTATCTATTTTTGGTTTGTTTTCTTAAGGGTTTATATTTCTTGATCAAGCAAAGTTGAGCCGTTTTTAACATAATTGACTAGATTTAGTGGATTATGAAATGGTAGTAGTCCGTTATTTTTATTCATATATTATTTATTGGTTGATTGCAGTACCAAGGAAAGCTCCATATTGAACTTCATCATGACAGTCTTCCATGTGATTTTCTTTGGATTTATCATTGTGGCTGGTTTTTGCAATGGAAGTGCCAAAAACTTAGTCAGTCCAAAAGGACTAGCACCTTTTGGTGTTAGGGGTGTTGTAGATGGAGCAGCTAAAGTCTACTTTAGCTATATAGGCTATGACTCAGCTTCAACCATGGCAGAGGAGATCAAAGATCCTTCTAAGAGCCTGCCAATTGGAATTGTGGGTTCAGTTCTTATAACCACTCTGCTTTATTGCCTAATGGCTCTATCTTTGTGTATGATGGTTCCTTACAACAAGGTCAGTAGTGTAGTATTCTACATTAATTTTCAACAAATGTTTATATCACTTCACAAGTTTAGTTTTAAGCAATTAAAGATAATAAAATTTTATTAAAAAAAAATATTATGTAATAACTATTTGTTTAATAAAATTTTACTACTACATACACATATATAAATGTACTTTTGTTTTTTAGTGGGTAGTGATAAGTGATGAAGCAATTATTCGTGTGATTTTAATAGATATCAGATAAAGCATCATTTTCAATCGCTTTTGTTAAGATTGGATGGATGTGGGAGAGCAAAGTTGTCGGGGCAGGTGCAAGTTTGGGTGTAGTGGCTTCTCTCTTGGTTGCCATGCTAGGCCAAGCTAGATACCTTTGTGTTATAGGAAGGGCCCGTTTAGTGCCATCTTGGTTAGCCAAAGTGCACCCTTCAACAGCCACCCCATTGAATGCCACAATCTTTTTGGGTAAGCATATTTTTAATATATTTCTCCTAATTAAACTTCAACAACATTAATTATGTCCATTTGTTTTTTCCACTTTTATATCCTTTCTTTTCGTGGATAATGTACACTTGACAATCAGTAGCTACTAGCTAGTAGTTAATCGAGTTTTACTAACTTAAAATAAAATTAATTTTATTTCAGTAACCAATGAAAAATCTAAAACAAAAGGAGAAAATGTAGTCTAATTAATGAATGAAAAAAAACAAATAGAAGAAGAAAAATGGGAAAGAAACGATGAATGTTTATTCTTTTTGTTGATGTAGGAGTTTGCACAGCAAGTATCGCGCTTTTCACTGAGCTTGACATTATAATTGAGTTGGTCAACATCGGCACGCTCTTGGTGTTCTACTTGGTGGGCAATGCTCTAATATACCGTCGATATGTAATCACTAGTCATACCCCACCTTTGCACACACTCTTGTTCCTATTACTCTTTTCACTTAGTGCTCTAGGCTTCTCCCTTTCGTGGAAATTCAATCAGCAATGGTGGGGTCTGCCATTGTTTGGTGGTTTCATGATCACCGTCACAGCTTTTTTCCAACACAAAGTGCCTCTTAGCCATGCCCAAGATGCTGATTGGTGTGTGCCATTCATGCCTTGGCCAGCTGCCCTTTCAATCTTTCTCAATGTTTTCCTCATGGCCACACTGAAATTCCTCTCTTTCCAAAGGTTTGCTATGTGGGCATGTTTCATTACCATCTTCTATGTCCTCTATGGTGTTCACTCCACTTATCAAGCTGAAGAAATTGAGATGGGTGTTACTGTTAATCAGGTGAATTCAACTACATGCAACTTACAAAGTAAGGTAGAAGTTTAAGTGCTTTAATTAGGTGAGGCAGCTCAATTTGTGTGGGGCTGTGTGCTGATTTAATTTTAACTCTTCTCCCTTTGCCGGTCTCCCCAAAACGACACTACTATTAATGCAACTTACCATAAAAAGTGTATATATGTAAATACCATGGTATATAGAGAGGGAATCAATTTTCTAAGGACATGTTGCATAGGCCCTTCCCATTTGATACTGATGTTTCTGATATTTAAATGCATGCTCTTCAAGAAACAATATCATTCTTTAGAAGTGGGAAAGATGATTAAGATCAATTCTCTAAAAGGGGTGGCAACGATGGCGCAATACTGTGAATAGTGCTGAAACATTCTTTTCTTTTCTTCTTTTCGGCGGTACATATGACACATGGGTCTGTATAGTCAATTCGGCCCAGTTAGCTATGGGTTAAAACAATTTCGACATGCCAACGTAGCAATGCTTACATCAATATCACTTTTGCGGCTTTTTTTTATGTATGATTTTTTTTTTAAATTCAAAAAATTATAAGATTTTTTTATAAAATTACGAAAATATAGTTATTTTTAAAATCACCGTTGACAAATTTTGATAAAAAATCATATTTTTAAAAATATTTAATTATTATTTTAAAAATTACTATCGACAACTTTTACTTTTTTTAATATTTTTTTAGAAAAATTGTATGACAATTTTTGACATTTTATCACTTTTAATTTTTTATTTTAAAATTTTTGTATTTACATAAAAAATTGTCATTAACTATTTTTAAACTTCATATTTTTATAATTTTTTAAAAAACAACATAGTTTTATATATATGATTTATAAAAATCATATATAAAAAATAATCCTCACTTTTGCTCCAATGTTCCGATGCCTAGAAACCAGTGTCAAGAAGTCATGGAATTGGACATGGACCATGGTGGATTGAACTCACTGTCCGCTCTGATTAACGGATTTAGCCCTTAAATCTAACTTTTTGAGCTCAAATAATTTTTATAAAATCGTAAAACAACTTTTAAGTTTGTGGATTAGAGGACTCTTTGCGAGTTAACTTGTATTAAACCAATTAAACTTCAATTTAGATAGGCGTGGCCTAAAAGTTTTTCCATAATTTTTAAAACCAGTTTTATATTGGGCAATTTGGTTGACACCCGTAGAAATAAGGATGTTAAGCCCTTATGGGTTAGGTTAAAGAGATTTAATCAAACAAATTTTTTAATTTGATCACTGATGATTCTGTCGAGACTGAATTGACTTGACATTTAGATAAAATGCATAAATTTTACTTACACATTATTGGATTATTAAATTTTAAAAGTAAAAATTAAAATATATTTCAAAATAACTGATGCCAATACAACATATTTTGCAATGTGTGTTAATTTAGGCTAAAAGGTCCAATAATTTATCACTATTTTCTTCTTTTTTTTTAAAATATTAAATGATATCCGAGTTAGATTCATTGGACCAAATTGAAGTGTAGCTCAAAACGAACTTAAAAATATACCCAACATGGATTTTCAAGAGTCCAAAACAAGTATTTCGATATTTTAAATACTCGTTAACCTGCCTATTTCAAAGTAAATAAAATGCTGTAACTACGAAAATTTTGTTATCCGAATAAGAAAAACGATAACATGCCTCGGCTCTCAAAAAATAAAATCTGACACAAACATAAAAAAAAAAAATAAAACTGGTGAAATAACGAGAATACACATTTTATAAAATAAAAATAATGAGATAATACAATATTGAAAAATTACAACAGAATGAACCACGAGTGAGAATGTTAAATAGTAACTCAATGGTCTGTTTTCTAATTTCCACCAACGGACTACCCTCATAACCCACTGAAGTAGAATCGAAAAGATAGAAGAATAAATTGTCAGTACCTCTTATACAAATGAGTTGTCAAAATTGACCTCACAACAAAGTTGGATATTTAGCATCTAGAAAATCTCTGAGAGTTCGAGCAGCTTTATGACCACCCATTAATTCCGCAAGCTTCTCTACAGGAAGAAGTGCAAGTTCTGCCAAGCTCTTGCACCCATCCATTATGGCCCTGTAGTTTGAATCTGTTACACCTGGAAGTCGTCTTAGGAACTCCACAGCCGATGTGTTGTAATTTTCAGCCCTGTGACAGCAATAAATCACTAAATTTATATTGAGAACAAAAAATGAATCAGTTCGAATGAGTCGGAGCTCTTCAGTTCTAAAATAATGTTTCATATAATTACAAACAATATATTCAGGGGACCCATGTGATCATCTTCCTGTAATGTGAAGGACACGTTTTCACTTCATCCTAGGAAGAGTTCCAACTCGAGAAACCAACATACCTCACGTCATTTTCCACGATTCCATCTTCCGAGGGGACACCCACTCTGATTGCTTTCGTTTCATCAGGCTCGTCTTGATTTGCCTTCAGCGAAGCAAATATCTCAGCAGTAGCATGCAAACTTCGAGACCAGATTATTCTTAGCCGAGGAAAGTGTAGAGCAAGCAATGACAACTTTGATATAATGCTTTTTGGTGTCACATCATCCCCAATATCACTAGCAGACTGGAAAAGATATTCATGAAAGGTCTAATGTCATTCGCAACTTCACATAAAAATACTAATCTTATGCAATGCAATAGAAATATACAATGGTTGAATAATCATTTCTATCAAAGCCAAAGAAACAAAGAACCAGCAGAAATGATATATTATTGAGGTAAAAAAAAACCTGGAATGAAAAGCTCTTGTCCTGTGAAAACTCAATCAAGAGGACAGGTATCCTGTAATACCGCACCATTGTCTCCACCTGGTGATATAGTCGACCTGATGTGAAGCTCATAAAGAGATCTTGAATACTTTTCCTTTCCACACAAATTAATGGTGATAGAATATAGTCACCAACTTCTAGGGTCACAGGAATGATGCGCATTCCCTTCTGATGAAGAACATTCGGAAGGCTGCTCATGAACTCCCGCATGTCCACAATGACCTGAAATGTTGAAATTCCCAAACTATAAATTATCTCGAAAGTATAAGAATCAAAGACCATACATCGTATGTAAGAAAATATCAGACACCTGCATTTCTTTATCAACCTCCTTTCTCCCCCCTGCCTTTCTGGTTATGGAATTATGAGGAGTAATTGAATCTAACACTAAATTTGAACTCTGATAGAACAGCCAAAGAAAAAAAATCAGAAACTGTTTATTAATGGAAGAAAATGCTACACCAATATACTATGCGACATACCCTCTCTGATTAACAGCAGGGATATCCACCAGACAAAAAATAAAGGCAAACAAAGGAAAATGAAACCAGTAAAGAACAAGTTTGAACAACATGCCACTCCATCTTGCTCCACAGAAAGTAATAGTGTCCAAAACAATGGACCCAGGCCAGGAAGCAACCGACAACAAAATGAGAAACAAACTAGGAAAAGTAGAGAAGTAAAACAAACCTGGTCAACTGGAATCATCATCATAGATTTTTGCCTAATCAAAGATTCAAATGCTCCATTCTCTCTACTAATACTAGCCTTGAACTTCTGAACCTCAGTTGAATCTTCATAGAAAAGAAAATATACTTTCAACCTTTTGGAGGGATTCTCAGCTTTGTACACTTCAATTTCCCTAACGAAAGCCATGTCTGGATGGTAAACAATGATTATAGAGGGCTTTAATATATCCAGTATAGGCTGATCACTTTCTAGAGCATAAAAATGTACTGGTGGTAATGGCTTCCCATTTCTTACTGCAGCATCAAGGTTAGTATGCCTTCGAAGAACTATGTTGTCCACAGATGTCCCACCCTGCACAGCTTCACAAAGTCTAACAGCAGTGACAGGATTAGCCTCATCTGCATGAACTTTATTTTTGGAATCAAACATCCTGATTTTATCACTTGTTGGTTCCTCTTCATTATTGTTCTGAACTCTAGAGCCATCAACAATGACTGGGCTAGTTCTATCCCCCACTTTTCTCTTTCTTTTTGCATGACCCCTTCCACCAAATTCAGACTGAGGGTTATCCTCAACAAGGTCATTTTCAGCAAGATTTCTTAGCTCCGATGCTGCTGCCAAAAGTGCATCGTGCTCCTGCTTACTAATGCTGGTGGTTTCTGCATTCTGAGCAGGTGTTATGGGAGTAACTCCATCAAGAATCCCAAAACCTTTGGGATCCTTGGGCTTCTTATTCTTATTCTTATTCTTATTCTTGTGTGCAATGTCACGCAGCTGTACTTTGTTCAGTAAGTACTTTTTCCATTCTTCATGCATGACCTTCAAGAATAACAAATAGTAAACAGGGTATGAAAGTCAGTTTTATCTAGTCCAGTTGGTTGTCAGCCAATAGAAACTATGAAAAGGAATCTATACCTGCAAACCTTAATCATAATTGCAAAAAGCATCAGGCTATACACAGCAAATATATAGCACACCAAGTAACTTCTAATAGCAATCTATTATAAACATATAGCAAAATCATCAAAATGAACAAGAAATCACATTGAAGATAATATAATAAGAAAGGCTTTCAACAGCTTTCAGCATTCAAACTACAGATTAAAGTTAAAATGCAGCACTTACATTGCCAATCTGTGGTCACAGTGCTAGTAATGAAAGCTAAGAAACTGCAATATATTTCATAAAATTAAAAGGCACTTAATTGGGTGCATCCATGCCCCACTATGCCATTGCCACCTTTTACAGGATCCATGGAAGTCGTCACCCATCGACATTATAAACTACAATAAAAAGAACCAAGGACCTAAAGTCATTGGCCAAAAATTGATTTGAGAATTTTTCGCTTCCCAACCTCTCCTTAAATCTTCTAGTAAGTAGTAATGTAGTTATCCAACTATTGCCATCAACAATGTCAATTCCATATTACTTTGCCTCAAAATCTTTTTAAAACTACAACAAATTTTAGCCAAGGAAATCATGTATTTCAGAAAGGATTCAGCGAAGTCTGGTTAAATTTGGCAGCGAATATTGAAGCTGATGAGCTCGCAGACCATATAAATTTTATTACTATCACCAATTAAACTGAGTGAAGAAAATAGAAAAAGTGACATTGAGATTACACTTTGTAAGACAACATATCACAAGGAGAGGGGGGGGGGGGGGAACACCTTTTTTGGACTGTTGGTGATGCATTCTTCCAGCTGCAAGCATGACCTTTCATCTTTACATGCCACTAATACAATGCCATTATTGGTGTCTTCACCTTCAGCCAATGCTTCTTCTCTCAACCCACCTTGCTTTTGTCTTTCCTCTTCTACCTCCTCGAGAACCTCCTATAATGACATAACCAAGAGTCAGCCCAAAATATCAAACATATATCAAGTTCAACCAAAACAAGTAAGCTAAAAACATAGGAACTGAAACAATACCACATTAATCTTTGTTAGTCTCACATATCAAATCAATCAAAATGAACATACGCCAGAGACTTTCTAGAATTGGAACTCACAGACTCACACGTAAGACCTTCCACTTTGGTGCTTCTTCCAAGACTTCCTCCAAAACTGAGCCAGCATTTGAACCAGTCGATGAAGTACCACCAAATGCTACACAACGCAAGCATTAAAATAAAAATTAATCTGACAAAAATGCCATCCTACACTTGGCATGGCATGCCACATCCTCTCATTATTTTTTTAATGTTAATTTTCTATGGAGTTAACCAATGTAACAGAATCAAGATCCATGCCAGAATAAAACACCAAACAGAACATAATAATACAATTTTACCTTCTTCAATGTCTTTGTCATCACCCTTGACCTTTCTCTGTTTGTTTTTGACACCCTTACTAGACCCATCAAATTTCACACCATCCGACCTTGCAAGATGAAAAACTCGTTTCTTTGCTAAGTCAAATATCTTATAGCTTGCCTCCGCAAATATCCAAACAGATCGAAAACTCTCTGACACTCTCAGGGTATCCAAATATTTCAAATAAGTCACTGCATCATACCTATCAAGACGAAGCCACACAATCAGTCCCTACAGTAAGGAATACATTCTTCACCCGAAAAATTTAAAGCTAAAATTCCAACTACCGAGGTTACTCCAACAACAAAATCCATTGAAGACAAATAAAATGCCACACGTATATTACCCAAATACCAAGGCTATCTGTCCTCACACCTCACAATTTGAAAGTTAAACTTAACACTATAGCTTATTTATACTATACCCACAAGACAAATGAATAACGCAACGCAATCAATGAAAGACCTGACTAGATAATCCAACAATTTCCTCAGGGTCTTAAGATCTGAGACGAGCTGCTTAGTCTTTTTCCCCAAAGTATGCCAAATTGGATCTAACTGTCTCCTCACAATCTCATCAAAGGACTTGAACAACCCGTTCTCCACCGTCAAATCCTCCACGTCAACCTTGTTGGTCTTCCTCATCTCCTTCAAGCACGCATCCATTACCTCAACAATCGCTTTCTGAATCCCCACCATGTACTTCGTCATTGGCACCCTTACATCCACCACCTCCGGCGGATCCTTCTCCAGTTCCTCCGAAACGTACACCTGAAACCTCGGCCACAGGTGCAGCTTCCGCACGTGCAGACACTTCATCGCTCGCTCCGCCTTCGCGAACCCCGACACCATCGCGTGCGGTTTGTCGGAAAACGCCCGAACATAAGCGTCACGGTTGAGTGACCGGAAAATCCTAACTATGAACGCTTCGGTGGAGGTCTCGGAGAGCGAGTGCGCGTTGAGCAAAACGAGTCCCGAGATTTTGGAGGTTGGAAGCTTGTTAGTTAAGAGATCGACGATCAGGATCCGCGGCGTGATGAAGAAGATGTTGCCAGAAGAGTAGAGAGCGTGGCGGTGGTGAGCGGGGAGATCGGCGGTGATTTCGGCAGGAATTTGGTTGAATTGGGGGTTTAGGGTTTTGAGGTCGAAAATGATTCTGGATTTGAGGGAAGTGGATGGAGGAAGGAGGAGAAGAGTGCCCTGAGAAGAAGAGTGTAGAAGGAGAAGCGAAGAAACAAGCTTCGACAGAGAGAGACCCGAAGAAAGCACCACGAGACCGCCATTAGAATCTTCTAGAAGCTCTGTGATTATGTGCTCGTGGAATTGAACCATCGATTACACTCTGCTCGCCCAAACCAGTTTCGCGCGCGGTTGTTTATTTCCACTTTACCGCGAAATCGACTCAACTCAAGTCTCTGCTTAAGTTGGGCCGGCTCATTCACCCATTTTGGGGATTGGGTTGGTCCAATGACTAATTGAGGCCCATCAAATCTTTTTCCATTTTCATTATACTATTTCTAACTACTTAGTATGGAGTTCGCATTCCTACAAAACAAGGTTTTAGCCGGCATTCATGGGTTGTGTTGGCTATAAGTTTTAATATAAAAAGTAACTTCACTCAATCAAAATTTTATAGGTTAAGTTGGATTAGTTTTGATAAAATTTTTGTTTCAACTTAAATCAGAAAATTAAATTAAATAGTCATGTTAGCATATACAATATTATATAAAAAAATAAAAATTTTACTTATAATTAATAGTTCAATTCTAATATTTCAAATAATAAATCTATTAAAAACAATAAAAATTTATTTATTTTAAAATATAATATAGTACGAATAGTTTAATATTTATTTTAAATAAAGAGTAAAATAATATATGCAAAAAATACACTTTAACAAATTTTTATAAATTATAAAATATATAATTCAATATTTATTTTATAATTTAAAGCAATGTATGTACAACATTTAAAAATTAAAAAATCAACTGGAAGTTTGTCTAATTGATAAACTGTTCAACATCGTTTAAGTAAAGTTAGTGGTAGATTCATTCATCATACTTAGGTATATAATCTGGGTTAAATCTAGATTAAACTAGATGAGAAAAAAAATTGAAAGATCAAATGATTTGTTAATTTTTAAATTTTTATTTTAAACAAATTGAGAAAAAATAAAATAGTATAAAGTTAACAAAAAAAATTATATATAAAATAAGTCATTAGATTTATTAAATTAGATTGTACTTTAAAATTATAAACTTGCAACCTAACTCGAACTTTATTAAGTTTCAACCTTTTTTTTTAACCTAAATTGACTTGTTTATCTAAATTAAACCGCTAATTTTTAATTTTGTTGAGTTGAATGATCGAATCTATTGATTCGATCTTAAAACACATAAACACTCCTAATTTAGTAACTCAACAGATAAAGCGAGCATTTAGAAAAATGTTTTAACGAATGAAATGATTTTTGGAGTTAAAGAGTGGGCTTTTTCATAGGAGTTAACGTAATGTAGGGTTCTTATCTATCTTGAATTTTACATGGCTTCCTATTAAAACTAAAAATTGCATTATATTCGTCAACTCAAACTGCCTCTACAATTTTGGTTAGAGTCAACATAAAAACCCTTTTCATTCCACCTTAGCGTAATTCACCAATACAATTTAAAAATAATCGTGTGCTTTCTTATTCTAAATTATTTTAAATTTGTTATATTTTATCAAAATAAAAAAGAAAAGTACGTACGCAAGATATTTGCTATATAGTTAACAAACGTGCAGGGCATTAAGGCAACCCACGTGAAAAACAATGCTAATTGTATTTTAGATATTTTAGAAGGTAGGGAATAACCTTTGGCGTTTGGAAAGGAGGCAAATAACACGTGGTGGAGTTATGCGAGCAAAAAGGAAGCATCAACAAGTGAATGAACGATGTAACCTTGACAAGTTGGTTGTTGCCGGCAATGCAGCTGTCATTTAAAAGTGAAAACATAAATATAAAACTAAAAACACATATTCCTCGTGCTTTATTTCCATACATTTATAAAATCAAGATAAGCTTTCAATAATCATTAACTACCCGGCTATGCTTATGCTCTCATATCACTCCTTCATTCTCACACCCATCTTCAATTCTAGTTGTGTTGTTACCCTCTCTTGGAGAACAACATGAATCCATGGAATCTCACAGCTTCTGAGTTACTCTCTCAACAATTTCCTTCTCCCCCTCATCATTTTGTAGAAGAGATTCCAAACTTGGGAAATTCCAGGTTTGTTCTCTTTGTCAATGATTTTTCATTCTGGATGGAAAATAGCCAATATTCAGTAGTTAATGTATGATATTCCTTGTTTTGCAGTGTTATGAAGCCATTGACCAAGGAGCCTAGAGGTGCCCAATTGACAATATTTTATGATGGGAAAGTTTTAGTCTTTGATGATTTTCCAGCCGAAAAAGCCAAGGACATCATGTCCTTAGCCAGTAGAAAAGGAATCTCTCAAAGCACGAACAACCGTGCTAATGCAATGAGAAACTCTGCAATTTCTAGTAGTCCATTTCCTTATCATAATAATATCTTCCCTAGCCCTGCCAACAATTCCATTCAGAAGCATCCTCAAGCACCATCCAAGTCTCTTGTTTGTGGTAATTCTTTTGGACCTTTAATGTTTGAGAAGATGAGAATTTATGTCTCGGTTTATTCATTTCTGATTCATTGTTTTAATTTTTTTCAGATCTACCAATGGCTAGGAAAGCCTCACTTCATCGGTTCTTGGAGAAAAGGAGGAATAGGTATGTATGCTGAACTCTCTTAAGTCTTAAACAAATTGGGGAAATTTTAACTGCGAAGTATTTTGATTGCCTCCATGTCTCAAACTTCTAAGCAATATAAGAATTGAAGTGATTGATTCAAAAGTTGAATTGGTATTGGGCCTCTTGTTCCCTTTTCCTCCTCCTCTTCCTTTTGCTAACAAAAGTCTCCCCTTACTTCTACATTTCAAATAGTTTGATTCATGGAAATTAACACATTAACAAGGTTTTCCTCTAAAAGCTATGTAATTTTAAAAAATATATATATTTGCAGTTTTGGATCAATTGATTTATATTTATTATTGATGTTTCTGTAGAATTGCTGCCAGAGCACCATATCAAACAAGCAATTCCATGGCAAATTTCAATAAGTCGGCTGAATCGATGTCGTGGCTCGGCTTAGCACCTAAATCGCCACAAGAGGAATCTGAGAGCAGCTCCAGCTTTGTGTTATTTTAACTACTTTTGTTGAACAAAGTTCAGAATACTATAGCATCAATTGATTCTTGTAGACTTCAAAAGGCTTGGTCGATGTTATTTGCTGCATGGAGTCTTAACAATTTGTGGGGCTATCATTAGCCTCATGCTCACATTTAGGGGCGTATGCCATGATCACAATTATATATTTGTGAATGTTGTTGCTAATGCATGCTATTACCATACTCAAAAGTGTAATTTTGGAGTGAAATTGTAATTTGGATAGCGAAGTTAGAGTTAATTAGATTATTTTTTAGAGTAGCCACTTTGTATAATTTATTTGCTTTCCTGCTAGTATGTGAGCTTAAAAACATTCTGTTATCCAGTAAATTTCATTTTTTCCTCTCATGTTTTCACATCCCTTCTCTCAAATTATCCTAGTATGTCATGTTCCTCAACACTTGATATCATGATTGTTGATTCTTGGGGTTAAAACGAAAAATTAAAGCTTTTAAGCGTTTTTTGGGTTTTATAGAAAGACAGTTGCTAATTACATAATCCCGATAAACTTACATATTTCATTCCTGCTTACGAGGTAAAATAAGAATGTAGATTGCAGAAAATGAGGTAGACTGAGCTGTAATATGAGAACAATCGAACAAATTTGGAATGTTAAAAAATTGTATGAAATTATTACTTAGCATTGTTATTATAAAATGTCCTCAGATACGATGTTTATTGTTCATAAGAACTCTTCCTGCGACATAAAAACTTTGTATTGTATTCCCTCTTTAAGCCTTTCTCAAAACGAATTCATTACTTGAACTTAGAGCAAACAACAATCCAAAAAAGTAAAAGCAGAATAAAACACGTATATATGAGTTTCGGACCAAAAGAATGGCAATCTACATGCATGAACAATGAACGGCTTGTTTCAAATTTTCAAACTACATGGCTTTTCTCGATCCTTCGGAGCAACAAGGAAACAGGTTTTTCCAAAACGGTCACGTTAACATTGTTCCAAACATCAGATATTGTGGGTAGAGTAGCAATTCTCTCAGCAATATTCAAGTCTTCTGGTAGAACAGAACCAAAAACAGTGTATTCTTGTTTCCACTCTGAATGATCAGCTAGGCTAATAAAGAATTCAGGACCAGAACCAATCCAAGCAACTGAACCCCTTCTAATGAATGGACAATCTTCCATGGGAAGTTTATTGAATGCTATACCTTGGGCTTCTAACGTTCCTTGAATTAATGCATAAGGAGGACCAAAAGCAGCCTGTAAAATGAGCACTCACGGAGTTACTATTATCCAAACACTATAATAAACATTATGGCTTGCATTGTGAGTGAGCCGTGAATATGCAAATAAATTTTTTCTTTTCCCTTTTGGAATATGAAAATGACCTCAACAAGCGTACAATAACATGTAAAAGAGACTGTATTTGTTATTTTAATCAAATGTTATATTTTCATTTTTCAGGGACAGAAAATATATTGATGCCACGTAAGAATGTATCAAGATTTTTTACATAAGACTCGCCTACTCCATATGAAAACACAGAAAGGGAAAGAAATAAATCTTAAAAGGGATTGACTATTTTTTAATATATAATGGTGGGGCACATCGAAATTCATTTTAGCAAAAGAAAAAGTGGCACTTTTTGTAGTGAAGCACCGATTATAGAATGTCTATTCTTCAAGGGTCAACTCTCCCGCTATGCGAAAGTGCAAACAAAGCTCATGCTTGACCTAACAAAATCCAGAGACCTATTGATTGAATTGCCTCAACATAATTCACAGTGATTTTTGTATCAAAATTCACAGTGATTTGGCTTCATAATTTTATCATTTTTGGTGAGTTTTGAATTTTACATCCTTAACCATGCAAGCTGTTCATACTGATAATAATCTATATTTTAAACTACCAGAAACAGTAAACATAGATCTAAGGTCCTCAACAAAATCATACTTTGTAATGGGGCAATTAACAGTGACTAATGCAGAATACAGAATTGAACAAAAAAGTAACTAATGCATGAGAATGAGATTTTATTGCAGAAATTCATAACATAATTTGCACAGATATGTGATATAGATCTAAATGTGTGTGTGTCCGATCATGCATCAGATGGGAAAATCAGTCTTACATTGTCTATATGGTTTCCTTCCGAGTCCCATGACTGACCTCGGCTCTCTGCACGGTAAAATTGGCAGCCAGCACAATGGTGCAAAACCAACAAGTCTAGAATGTAGGCAACAGAATGTGGGGCACAGTCAGGAAAGAGCTGCACCAAATAAAGAATCTCCAAGAGTTAACCATATTCCTCACTCACCACTGCACAATTTCAAAATACAAACTAGCAGGGATTCATAATGTAAGCAAAAAAAAAAAAAAAGAGCCACGGAAGATACATCAGGTATTAACAGAAGCAGTAAGTTGACATCCCGCTTGACAGAATGTCAGAAAACAAGAGCATCCCTTTTCAAAGTCAATAAACCAGTAATTATTTTAAGTAAATCAGCATATAAAGATGTCTTTCTAAATTGTACAAGGAACACTTCATCTTCTCAATGATCTATTAAAATTGTGAGGTTTTCCATTGTTGATATAACAAGTATGAATGAAGTAAGTCTCACATTAGGTACGAAAGAATAAGTTGAGCAATATATAAGTGACAACAACTCATAATCAAATGCCTAAAGGTTTTGGGTTGAATGTGGGATCTAAGTCTGTTTGTATGATTTGTAGCCACACATGAAATTAACATTGAATAAGAGAAGAAAATCTTTCAGATTCTGTTCATTCTGATGTATCTCTTCAATGTATATTTCCCAAGAAGATAATGATTTCACGATCTCCTATTGAAAATCCAAACACGTACAATAAGAGAGATTTGGTGGTCCCCTGGGACAAGGAGATCAAACAAATAGACATTGAAAATCAAACACATGTAGATTACATCCTGACCAGGCATAGACTATTGGCAAGTATTCTATTTGCCTCCAGAACCTTTTTTATCAAAGTATACCAATGTGCTTCTAGAAATAATATATTTCAATGCCTAACTTTACTCAAACAACATGTAATTGGTGCAAATGCAACATGAGCATCAGCACTTACTTTAATATGAAGTGTTCCATATTCAGTTTCCAGTCCAATAATACCCTGAAAATAGATGAATTAGAAAGAATTTTGAAAAAACCTTCATAAATTAATAACATTCCAAATATGTAACTCATCAGAAAGACAGTGAAAAGATATAGCATCAATGGAAAGAGAAGACAATTTTACAACGTGGGTAATTGGCCAAAGATCCAATTAGATCCATACTGTACACGTCATCACCATTCAGAATCAACTAAATTGTTGAAGCAGAAAAGAAACAAAGCTTACTATAAACAACAGAAAAAACATGTGTTTTGAAGATATTTAGCATCAGAACACATTTAATACAACATTTGAAAATTTGATTCTGATAAATGATGCATTTCTAAACTATCCGAACAAGAATATCAAATCAATAACCAAGCACAAGTTTGATGCAAATATTGTTCTGAGACTACAACTATCAAGTCAAATTTGTAGCATGATTGACAAGAAACACTTTCATAAATAAAAATTATTACTCCAAAAAAAATCTCTTACCTCTCCTTTCCCAAAGATGAGACCAGAAGTCCAACCAACTATTTCGCCTGGAGGCACTCCATCTTGCCGTTCAGGAGCTAAGCTGTCCTTCTGTTTCTTCAACCAACACTGCAACAATGAAATTAAATGCAATGACTTCTAAGCTCCAAGTGAAAATTTTGATTAAAAGAATAAAATTTGAATCTCAAACAAAAACAGGTCTAGAATTACAGCTATGAATTAAATGCCTATCCTGCACAAACTCACTCCAAAAGAATTTGCACAAAGCCAGAATAGAAACTAACACTCATGACTCATCCAAAATGGTTCCCATTGTTTTAATTTGCTAAACATCCAAGAGTAAATCCAAAAACATCAACCCAAATGGCAAATCCACAGATCTTCAAACAGTGACAACTTCTAAATCAGCAAAACACAAACTGGGGAGAGAATTGAATAGCACCTCACTTAACTTACCTCACCAAACTTGGATCCACAAGCTTGACGATTCCCACAAAACACCCAAGTATCACAGAGACAAGGCCCATCTTTCCCAGTACACATGGATTTACACGCGTTGCAGCATCCTTCAGAACTGTTGAATTTAAAATCAGAACCCCACTTCACAGATGCACCCCAAAGCTCAAAATTTTCAATCCCCCTACAACACCCTTTAGCATTCTGCAGACCACCACCTTCGACCAATGTTCCAAACTCTGAAATTGAAGAGCTTCTGGTTGTGGTGCTGGCGAGCACCGCAGAGAGGAAAACGTAGACCAAACCGCACGAAGCAAAACAGACAAAGAGGAGAACCAAACGGTTTAACAGAGTAGAGTTTGGTTCATTGTGCCTACGACCCATTGAAGAGTTTGAGAAGAAGAAGATCAAAACCAAGAAAACGGATAAGATAGGGCGTTGACCAAAGGAAAAGAAGTGGGATAGAACAGTGGCAATGCAAATGAAATGGAAACAAGGGTTATCATATCATAATGATTCAAAAGTGAAGATAAAGAGTGAAAGAGAAATGAGATGGGCTTCAGATTGAACAAATTTTGTCATTTTCAGTCGCAGTTTGTGGTGATGAATCATGTGACTATGTTGCAAGAAGTGTTGTTTTGTTTCTTAGGTTCCTGCTGCTGGAAAAAATAAAAACAAATCCAGAAAGTGGTAACATAATTGAGCTCAATTATTAGCCAAAGAGGTTAGCGGTAAAGAAATTATTATAATAATGAAATATTGTCATCATGAATAATACTATAACTCAATTAATAGTTAATTATGCATTCTATTTTTACCTTAAGAGTATTATATGGTATCACATTAACCATAATATATATTCAAGTTTTCGTGACTCAAATAAAAAAAAAAGTGATATTTTTTTTGTTAAGACTTTTATATATTTTCTATACCAAATTTTAGTAAACAGTTAACCAAACTAATCCTTAATCTAAAAGCCTACGTGCAAGATGTGTAGGATTCTTTGGGACTTCATTAAATATAGTATATGCATGGTTTCTCGTTCATAATCACTCAAACGTGGTTTAGTTCAAATGTCCTTATTCTTCTTTTTCAAATTGTTTGACTTTGTGTTTGCATCTTATTTTTTATGGAATTTCAGTTCCCAGTTTTGTTATGAACCAAATCGTGTCTTGCGTAACTTCTGCTTTAGCATGTAAAATTTTATGCCAAATTTTACTGTAATCTTAATCATAAAATAAATTTATTTGAACATCAATTATTTTATTTTGAGTTTATTTTTAACAACACAAATGCAAAATGATTTAAAGTGAAGTTTACCCAAACACACAAATTCATTAATAGAAAGTTTCATTAATTTTTCAACAGTGTTGAAAACTTCTAATTTAACTGAAAGCATAAAATCCCACATTACAAGCAAAATGTTTCACAATTTTTTGCTTCACACACACAAAAAAAGGTGTTCAAATATTTAAAACCCAAAAAATCATTTAATGCTCTTTTTTAAAAATAATTAAAACTATTTAATGTGATATATTTAATTCTTTTTAATAATAGTAGAAGTACAGATTTGAGTATATCCAAGGGCGGCAAGGATGGCCCCCATTCTCCACCCTCAATTCTATATAAAATATAGATAGGCTTAAAGTTTATATAAAAAAAATATTACAAAAAATGTTATACATTGATGGGAGAAAAAAATTAATGATTTGTTATGTTCCATTTCATATATTATTTGTCTAAGTAGAGATGGAATTGGATTTACATCAATAACATAATTCATCATATCAGTAGACAAATTTATTAATATAGGAAATTGATATAATCATTGGTACTTCATATTCCTATTATCATAAATTAGAATATTGACATTAACCTACAGTACTTATATTAATAATTACACGTATTATATTATTAAGGTTAAGCATAACAATTAGTACTTTATTAATATATGGCTTTTTTTAGCATATATAATATTGTAATTTACTTATATTATCGTATATATTTACATGTGTTTATTTTCGGCTCATCCCAGTCAAGTTCTGTAGATCTGTTCCTCGTGCTAATAACCTATAATCTTTTAATTTCTTTCAACTAGTAACTACTTTGAAAATTGTGTGTACATTTTAGTCTCTTGTATAGCTACTTTCAAACTAATTGAAGTTTTGAGCAAGAGAAGGAGAAGAAAAATAATGCACTATTCTCATTCCTTTATACTTATAGTTTAAGACATACAAAAACTAAAAAAATAACCAACATCCTCAATTACCTTCAAATTAATTTTAATTTCTTATCGCATCGGTTTATTTCTCCTATTAATTCATTTTTATTTCATTAATTCTGTAAAATTTCTTCCGCCATTATACTTTACATTATTTTAAACTTGAAAAAATATAATTAAGATTATAATTGCAGTAACAGTACAGTTGAAAATTTTAAAATTATATTAAATAAAAAAATACAAATATAAATAAATGAATCACAGGAATAATTACGTATGCCGCTCAATCAGTCTTCGAATATAAATACAAATGGAGGAAAGATAAAAGTCATCTGAAACTTGATTTTTGTATTTTTTTTCTATTTTTTATTAGATTTAAATAATCAGGTAATATACTTATTTTATAAAGAATAATTAACTATTGATAATTGATTAAAAAAAGTCATTGGCAAATTTTACAAGTTTGATATAAAAAAAATTCTGAATAACTTGTTAGTTCGTGTTTGTGTCAGTGCATAATAATAAAAAAATTTATTATTATAGATTGAAAATCAAATAATATAATTTATACACTTGCATATCATGTAATGAATTATAATTATATTTGAAAAATTCTACCTAACTTGCATGCGAAATGAATTATTTTTTCCTTTATTTTTATTTATTCTTTTAGTATAAAAACGCGAGGAAATATTAAAGTAATACTTAAAAAATCGAAGTTTAAAATTGACTTTGACAAATAGGCCAAATTTGAAATTTGACATGCATTGTGTTGAATTCAACTCTATACCCTGCCCACACACGAAGAATGCATACTATTTTGGTAACCAATCAAAGGAAATGTACCCAAACACAAACTAAATGAGGCCAAGGTGTTTGGCATAGGCATAGTCCCCTCCAACATCAACTTCCTCGTTAACCTCGTTACCATGCAAAGCATTCGATGATCCTGTCCCTGCGTCCTCTGCACCATTGGTTTTCAGCCCTGGTGTCCTTGCCTCTTGTATGATCCGCATGATTTCTTCCACACTTTGGCTTGCTTGATCCTTTGGTGTTTCCTCATAACCTTTTCTCTCGGCCTCAATTATCTCCCTTGCCAAGTTCTTCCGAAACCAAATGTGCTGTTTTATCTCGGATATTGTGATCCTCTTTAACAAGGATGACAGATAAAATGTAAGAGATTCCCATTATACACAATACACTAAAAAATTTCATTTTTACATTTTTAAGGTGAAATATGAATTTGACTAGATATGTTTAGGTGAGTTTATTGACAATAATTTTTTATTGGTTAATTAAACTAATATTATTATTATTTAAATAAAAAATGGTAATAGATATTTTAAAGTGACAATAGATACTTGTATTAATATAGTTTTGTATATCTTAATATTACTTACCTTGGCAGGGTTGGCGACAAAAATACGAGAGAGGAGATGTCTACACTCGGTAGAAACACGTACATAGTCCGGTATGATGTATTGAACACTCATAATTCTCTGCCAATGAGAGAATAAGAGTTTAAACTTCCTTCTATGGATGATCAATGGCATTAATCATAAAGGGATTCATTGAAGTAAGAGCTTACCCCAATACTCTTTCTAAAATTTTTAGGATCTTCTGGATCTTCAAATGGGTATGATCCAACTAACATCACATAAAGAGTAACACCACAAGACCAAACATCTGCAATCTAAACAGTGGCCATAGTGTGAACTAAATTGAGCAGTGTCAAGTGTTTTGCTATTATCAACCACTGTTTGTTACTTGACATTATTAATAGGCACAATTCACAAACCTTTCCATCATATTCCTTTCGTGACAAAACTTCTGGGGCAATGTATGCAGGAGTTCCAACTGTAGATTTAGGATGAGAGTGCAGTAAAGCAGACTGCAATAGCATATTAAATTAAATAAGAAAGTCAATAAACAAATATATGAAAGGGCTACTCCATAAAGGTTCATATGAGAAGCTATTAACCTTGGAGAAACCAAAGTCACAGATTTTAAGTCGAGGAGCTGGATTTCCATCCAACAACGTGTTTTCCAATTTCAGATCTCTATGACATATTTGCTGCAGTGGGATGCATGAGATGATATAAGACAGGGTTTTAAATGAGAAACAAAAGAAAAAAAGAGAGGAATTCTGATATACCATGGAATGACAATAGCTCACTCCAGATATTAATTGTTGGAAGAAAAATCTTGCCTGTAATATAGGGAATTCATCAAAATAAATCACCTAGAAATTGATATGTGTAGAGATTATTATACACGTACGCACACACACACAACCTCATCTTCACTCAATCGACCAGCATTGCATATCCTCTCGAAGAGTTCACCACCAGCAGCATATTCCAGAACAATAGCCAAATGAGTAGGGGTCAGAAATACCTGCAGGAAAAAAATCTGACTTCTACAATTTGCATATAACTTTTGAAAGCTCTGAATAGAACACATCATGTTCAATCCTTGCCCTCATAGAACAACAGACACACTTTCAGGAAATCCAAATGAAGGAACAGAACTATTTAGTACATGCAGATATGTTCAAATTGATGGACTTCTCTAGCAAGAATTTCTAAAGAAGCAGGGTAGTTAGTAACCTGGCTAAAGGTTTGTATAGTGTCAGACACAAAAACCTTATCGTAAGTTTTTATGTGACAGCTTAAGCTACTGGCATAGTTGATTCTTGACTTACCATTAGACCCACATTACCAAACGAACAAAAGTTAATGTCACCTAACCGCTTAAGGTTGTTGGATAGTTTATTCTCAATACACAATGCAATTTATTATTAGCAATTTTCCTCGTTTCTTGCAGTAATAAGTCCACAAGCAAGATAGTATGCAACAGCCCTTATAGCTTTTGGCGTATTTATGACAGCGATGATAACTCATTGAAAAAGGAATTATGGGTTTTATCTGCATTAGTCAATAACATCTAAGGAACTCTTTTTTTTTGTCTCAACAAGTTTCAAGCGGTATGTATTTTGATAGCTGTTAGAACAAGTGCAAATAACTATCGAGAAAATGCAACATGTCCAATTCCATGCAACAAACTCTTACCTCTTTGAACCTGATAATATTTGGATGCCTCAAAGATCGGTGGTTAACTATCTCCCTTTGAACATTCGCATCAATCTGATACCACAAGCATAACTCACTCAGAAGAAGGGAAGATGAAAAGCAAATCGAAAGAAATTGTTAGAAAACAAAATGTGAGGGTGTTCAAATTCATTGTGCATCACGGGAGAATCAGGCGATGTCAACAAAGTTCTAAACGATAGTGCTGAGCTAATTAAGCTCGATAAAGAACACAACCAAAAAAGATTCTATGATTATTTTTTAATATCACAAAAATGAAATCCATCACACATCAGCTTTAGGTGCAAAGTGTTGTCCCGATATGCAACGACAACCGAAATTTCAACATCATTGTAAAAAGAAAAGATAGAAGCAAATGATATTGCTTTTGCTTCCGGCAGAGAATATACACGACTATAGAAGTAACCTTTCTAGCGAGAAGGAAGAAAATAGAAGAAAAAATACAGATAACTATTCCTTCTTTTTTTTTTTGGTTGAATAAAAAGTTAAAAAAAGAAAGGAATAATTGATTTTACAAACAAAAATTCAAAATTTTCTCTTCAATTCAAATTTCAAAATTTTTTTCACCCCTCATTTTATTTCCTCCAAAACAGAGGACTAAAGAAGTTCCAGCACATTGAGATCATTATATTCTATGATAGGACTAATGATTTTGGCCATCAAGCTAGAAATATTATCAACAAAAACCAAGCCTAGAAATCTAGATGAATAGAATTTCCACGATGATGACAAGCAAATCATATTTGAAAATATATGAAACATTTAACAATTTTCACAATGCAAACCAGAAGAGCAATCTACAGAAATCAATTTCAATTTTCAGAATTCTCAAAGAAAAGTTCAATCAGTAGAGGGAAACATTTGTAGGAGCAACAGCATTAGCTCATTGAATCAAATCTCACAACCTTTTTCCCCCTTTCTATGTATTTGATGGCAACAAGCTCCCCTGTGTTCTTGTCTTTAGCCAACCTGGCCACTCCGAAGTTCCCCGAACCAAGGTCCTTCAATTCCTCGTACCGTTCTTCCATGTCCTCTCTCACCGAACCAACTTCCAAGGCTAAAAATCACAGACCAGACCAAAAGTATTTAGACCAAGAGAGGACCCAAATAGGAAACTGATACCTTATATATATATATACACATTATTTTACATTAAAGTGAAGCCTAATATAATATAATAAAGAGGTAAACGCAAGCCAAAGAAGAATTAAAATTAATTAAATAAGAGAGAAGATAGGAAACATGTACAATTGTCAAATAACAGTTCGAACTGAAAATCACCTCAACAAAGAACAAGCTTCCTTGGATCGTGCAACTTATAAATTCCTAGTCCAGATGTAAATTATGTCAGGGATGGGCATTTTTGTATGGTTGTTGCAGAAAATAGAGCCGGTTTCGCCTTTTCTACATACCAAAAATCATTAATGATTGATTATTGATAATAACACCCAGGAACCAAGCTCTTAAAAACAAATTATTTTTTTATTGAAAAACATTTTTTTAATTAAAAATATATAATTTATTTAATATTGCTTTATTAATTAATTAAAAATATGTGATGATAAAAGTAAAATGCGGAGAGAGAATGCGAAATGCGAATAATGTTGTATGGAAGCAAGGATGAGAAATATCTCAAAACAAAAGGTTGAAACTTGCAAGATTACTTAATTATTCACTTTTGGATAATATGAGTTCTCATTTTTAAATATTATAATAACACTGCCATTTCATTTTTATAAAATTACGTGCCTTTTTATATTGGTTATGCATTTTCAATTTTTATATTAAATGAAATTAATATCAATTATTTGAATTAATAATTAAAACCACTCAATTAACATTGGACATAATCAAATATTTATAAATAATAATTAAAATATTTTCTTATTATCGAAATTGTTTTTATTTTTTTGAATTATTTTTTATATTTTACATTATATTGTATTATATATAAAGATTGTTTTTATCAGTTAAATTAATATTTTAATTTAATCTTTTATATTTTGTAAAAGTAATTATATGATGCACTCGATATTTATTAATATTAAAAAGTTTGTTTTGCAAATATTAAATTAATATTAGTGGCAATTTTTAAAAACATATTAAAATAAAAAATAAAAAATTGCAAACGATGCTTTTTAAAAATTAATAAAATATTAAACAGGTAATTAAAAGTTACTATTGGCAATTTTTGAAAAAAATGATAAAAAATCATCATTAGTAATTTTTGAAAAAAAAACTATTTTTATAATTGTACCAAAAATCTCATATTTTAGTAATTTAAAAAAAACTATATAAAAAAAAGCCTATAATGAACTCGAAATTTATTAATATTAAAAAAATTTGTTTTGCCAATAATTATTATTAGCATAATAATTAAAAAATAAAATACTAAAAACATAATATTGATAATACGTTTTTATTATATATTTTAACAAAAAAAAATTATAGTTGTTATTTTAAATTATTTGTCTTACGGATAATGATCAATAAGGCCGTTAAAAAAAGGGTTTTTTTTTTTAATCATTACGTTCTGGGACGTGCCAAAGGCTGCTAGAAAAAGGGTAACTTGCAAGTTTTCGAATCAGTTGTTGTCACTTGTCACAGAACACACATTTTAAACAGTGAAGATAATAATAAGTGGGAAATAAGAGTATTTTTAGTGGGAATTCTTAAAAATAAGTATTTTTACAAAAATTTATAGAGTTAAATTTATTAATATAACTTTAAAAATGGCGAATTATTTATACAAACAATTATTTCAGAAAAAAAAAATGTTCTTTTGTTTGTTTGGGTGAAAGGAAAATGGAAAAGTAGAGAAGAAAGAAAATGTGTTATGCGTGCATCAGCTGGAGAGCGTGATTGGTCGCTGTCGCAATTTGGCTTTGGAATTGGGAGAATAACGTGCCCGCAGCAGTGGGTACCACCTCGTTAATTAATTAACTCTAAGCTCGGATTACGCTTAGGATATGTTTTATTATTATTAATAATAAAATTTTCATTTATTAAACATAGCTGCCTTGTTAATATCAGAAAAATTATATTTATTTTTGTGTTAAATATTTTGAATGTTTAATTAATTTTTATTTTAAAAGCGAAAAGTACACGTCTAGAGTTATTTGAGAGAGATGGATACTTGAAAAGGGTCTTTTAAAAGTGAATTCCTATTTATTTATTAATTAAAATATTTCTTATGTGATTACTGTTTAATATGATCTGTGTTAAAAAAAAACAAATTTATGGATGAGATTTTGCATGTAAAATTATGTTAAAAACTCAAACTACACCTAATAGTGGTACTGAAGTTGCATTTATTTATTTGCGAATGGCATAAAATCAAGATCAGCTGGGTTCCACCTTACGGGTGGGTGACCCATCAAATTGTTAGATTTGCAAATAGAAAAAGAACATTTTTCATTGCTCATCCCAAAGCTTACAGGGTCCGGTTTTAGTTTTATTTACTTTTTCTTCATTTATAATGTCTTATTCATCAAACGTAAAACAAAAATGTATAAATAAAAGAAGGAAAGCGTTTACAATTAACTTGAATTAAATATTATATTTTAAATCAATGGTTGATAATTTTTTTTACTTTATGCAATTTTACTTTTGAGCTGTCTGATTACTCCAACACAAATAGTTCAATCTACCAATATATTTATTGTAATGTTTTATATTACTAAATAATAATATTCACTTATGTATTGCATATGTGCTGGTTCATAAAGCTCAACCTAAATTAGTATAAACTGTTTAAACTAATTGTTTATGACCACGACTTATTTATTTAACAAACAAATATTCAATATATTTTAAATGATTTTGTTATACTTTACAATCAAAGTATTTTAAAGATAATATTAGAAAAAATAATGAAAAGTATAAATCCATGAAAAATACTAATAATAATATAAAACATAACAGAAGGATTCATATTTAAAATTGTATCATGTTAATTGGTTTTGCTCTACTTTTTAGTAGTAGTTAGACATAATTTTATCAATACACAAATAATTTTAAAGAAATTATTGTTACATTACATATATAAAGATAAAGAACATGGGTTTTCCTAGTCTTTGACCTCTTTATATATATAGATAATAGAAGAACTTTTATATATATAATTATAATATATCGATAGTAAATATCTAGTTCTAGATAGATACATAAATCATGTTTCATCGTATGTATTCACAATAAATTAACTAGAAAAAGAATATTGTGACAATCAAACAGCTTAAGTAAAATAACTATAGTTTATTTATGACAAATTTTTAATTAACAACGATATGTGAAAGTACAATTGATTTGTAATTTAACTATATTACTTCAATAAGCGAGACTGATATATTCGATATAATTTATAATAAAAACACAACACGCAATGATTATTTTTAGCTAAAAGAATAATTTTAGTTATTTGTTGAAATATTCTTACTTTATATTCTGTCAAGACGGTGTGTGAAATCGTTATTTCTGTCTAGTTTCTTTTGCAAGCAGAACATCCAATGGTGGAAGAGAGATTGGTTGTTTCAAACTTGGTCTTCGTTGACCATTACCAACTGTACTCTACTCGGGTCCAGAATCAAACGGCCAAAATTAGCATCACCGTCGTTATATATATACATATATATAACACTTACACCACACTCTCATTCTACTTTTTCATTCTCAACAATAACGCGTTTCGTTTCTTCTATCTTTTATATTCTCTCGCCATACAAGGCCTTAGACGTGTGCCCATATAGTTAATTCAAATATCAATCAAATGCTAATTTTGTAGGAGAAGTTTTCAAGTCGGTGAGTCCCCTTCCCATGTCATTCATGCATAACGTTGTATTTCCATGCAACGTTTATGAGTGTGATTAGATATTACGTTGATTGTTGAGGTTCGACCTGCATGATGAAATTCATGAGATAAAATGTAAGAAAAAAAAAATTTGGATGTCTTGAAAACTTTTCGGATTAATTATTTGTTCTTTTAAAAAAAATTGTATCCTTTGTAAATTGGATCTAATTGACATCTTTTGTTGGCTTTGATTCATGCATTAATGATAAGACGATGGTTAAGAACTTATCAATTTGTGAAATTGTTGAGAAGATTCGTGGAATTCTGTGGTTTTGATAGGTTTTCATTTGAAGGTTTATTATATCTAGGCTATATTTTACGGGGACGGGAAGAACCCAACATCAAGGTCCATTTTTTAATTTATTCATTATTCATATTTTTCTCATTAGCCATAGCCATGTTATTTTGAAGTCTGTTATTAGAGCTCCCTCTTCCTTCAAAATGATAAAAAAAAAAAGACAGTGTTCTGGAAAGTATCGTTTGTGATCACAGGCACGTTGCCATCTCTTCTAAGTGATCGAATATTATATTGTGGTATTCAATTTATTTTTACTTTCCATCTTGTATGTGCTGATGTGCAATAGTGGGAGTGATTTATTATTAATCATCTTCAAGTTGTGGTGTTTGAAATTGGGTTTACAACTGCAAGTTTTAATTTTGATTTTGATTATATTTTAGTGAAACTCGGGCACTAGTTTTGTACGTGCTGCGTTGCCCACGTTTCCTTCAAAAATGGGTTGTTTCCACTCCAAAGTAAGAGAATTCCCAATGGAAGACCCATTTGCTCTTGCATCAGAGACAACTTGTAAGTTAACTTTCCATTTTTTTTATGGAATGATGCAAAAAAGTAATTCTTGCACAATTATAAGAGTGCTATTTGTCTCGAGTCACAACTGTGTAATGATTTTTAGAGATATGTTATTCTGAAATGCTAATTATGAATTTACATATTTTCTTGCTTCTGAATGGGTGACTCTTTGAAAAAGAAAAACTTTTTACTATGCTTTGTCGGGACAAACAAAGCCTTATATAAATGCAAAGTAACATACATTGTATTTCTGCTGCAGTTATTATGTAAACCAAAACAAAAAGTTTGTCAGTTTGTTTTCCATCCATTTGTACACAAGATTGTTCTATCTTTGGAAATCACAATGTAGATCTATAAGTGGGGCTAGTTGGTTCATTGTGTCAATTGATAATAGCTGTATTGATTAATGCATTTGAGTCCTATCTTTTCTCATACACTTATATTGGTTTTGTTTAAACTTATTTGTTAATATTTGGTTTCGCAGTCAGTGTCAGTGATGTTGAAGCATTATATGAGCTTTTTAAGAGCATCAGCAGGTCCGTCATTGATGATGGGCTAATAAGCAAGGTAACAAATAGAAAATAGCCACTATTTATAAATTTTACTTTAATTTATTAGGTATATATGAAAATAAATGGTTGTAATTTTCTAAAATGATGCTTCAAGAAATGGATGATCTATAGTATATTTTTATTTATTCTTGCTTTGTAGTGAACTTTTCGGTAAATCATGCTTATTTAGTTACTATTTAGGTTTGTAATATCTGCGTTCTTCACATTGACTTCTTAGTCTATATGGTGATAACTGATAATAAGCATTCTTTTGCAGGAAGAATTTCAATTGGCAATTTTCAACAATAAGAAAAAAGAGAATCTCTTCACAAGTCGGGTACTATACAATATTCTTATAATTTTTATTGTATGTAAACATTAATTAAATAGCCTTTTTAGTTCAAGTCAATTGACATTCGATTTTTCTTCTTTTCCATATGTAGATCTTTGATCTGTTTGATGTCAAGGGAAGAGGAGTGATTGACTTTGGTGACTTTGTTAGAGCACTGGATGTTTTCCACCCAAATGCACCGATGCAGGTCAAGATTGACTGTAAGTTGAACGCACAAATCATCGTGACCTTTTGGGTATCCATATTGTGATTCACTGTTCTAATATAATATAATTTTTTGGGATTTTCTTGCAGTTTCTTTTAGGCTCTACGATTTAGACAATACAGGCTTTATAGAGCGCCATGAGGTAAGATGTTAATTGTTTGTTCATACATCTTCAATATAATTGCAAGGTTCAGTTTGGATATTCGATCTAATGAAATCTCAATCTGTATGGATATGCCTTTTTCTGAAATGATAAGTTCTTACGCAAATATGCTTTTGTAGTGACATTTATTCGCAAATATGTATGTGCATCTGAGTACATTTGGTGATTTTTGACAGGTCAAGCACATGATAAATGCACTTCTTTGTGAATCTGAAATTAAGTTGTCGGATGAAATGATAGAAACAATCATTAACAAGGTGAGTTATGTTTGTTTAATTCCCATGTATGATATTAAAAAGACGATTAATTTAATAAGAAATAAGTAGATCAACAGTGTTTTTTAAGATATAGTTTATTAATGCTGGATTTTAATGTCTCCTATTTCTCTACCTTAATTGTCTTAAAATAATAAAAAAAGGATTAAGCTTGATGTTTTACATTTTTTTACTAGACTTTCTTGGATGCTGACCCGAATCAAGATGGAAAAATAGATAAATCTGAGTGGGAACACTTCGTTTCTGAAAATCCTTCTCTGTTAAAAGTCATGACACTACCCTACTTGAGGTATGTGTGTAACATTACTTTTTTGTTGATTTTTAATCACTTTTGTTGAGATTTTCGTATAATTCATAAGTTGTGAAATTAATGCAGGGATATTACAACTGCTTTCCCAAGTTTTGTGTTTCACTCGAAGGTGGAGGATGAAATTTCTGAATAAGAGCGCACATTTTTTTGTTACACAATTATTAATATAATTAGGCACTTTTTCTTTTTTAGAACTTGTTTGAAGAGCTTATAAACAGCTTAACCGTTTTCAGCTGTGTTCAATAAGTTTTATTGTTAAGTGTTTAATTAAATACTATTTCTAAACATATATTTTATATGCAATGAGAGGAAGTACAGCAATAGATAAGATAAAACAATTAACTTTTATCATATTAGTGTAAAACATTCCATCATTGAGTGTTTGATTGTTATTAAATATTACTAGACCATGATTAGTTTACATGAGTTAACATGAAAAATAATAAATAGTAGCAAGTCGATATTTTTTTAAACATAATTTTAATTATTCATTAAAATTTATTAAAAATTAAAAAATTGTATTAATCACGTTCATTCTCTTTTTTAACTTAATATTTTTTTTCTATGCTTTTGTAATTTTTAATAAATTTTAATAAATAATAAAAATATATTTATAAAATTTCTGTTTTAACTATGTCACGGTGAAGTAAAGTGAGATCCAGCCCAACATAGTAAACCAGCTTTATTCTGTAAGGTCCATGGGCAAAGCAAATCACCCGCTTGCATGGTCGAAACAATGCATAATAGATAAATTGGAAAAAAAAAAATTTAAAGGTTATAAAAATTGGATCAAAATGAGATTTTTGAATATTTTTTTTTTTTATAAATAAGACTTTAAAGCCCAGAGACAAATAAAGACTTAGATCATAAATCTAAGAATCTAAACATTCAAAAAATTCATTCTTAAAAAGGATAAAAAAAAAAACTCTTATCAAAATTAAAGAAAGGTAAATCACTTTCAGTTCCAAGTTTAATCAATCAATCTACACTCTGATTTGCTTTTTTAATAATATGACTAAATTAGATGAATTTAATCTCTCTCAAATAGTTAACAATTAAAGAAATAGCTTCCATAAAATTACATTCAATCCAAATTAGTTGAATTTTCTTATTAATAACAAGTTTTAGATCCTAATATACATCCTAAAGTTCTGGAAAAAAAAGAAACACATATCCAAATAATTATGGAAATCAACAATGAGTTTACAATCACCATTCTTAACGATAATTCCATAGTCTGTAGTTCATGAGACAACTCTATCAACATTTAGTTTGAACTGCAAGACCATGGGAGGTTATCATTTGGGTGATTTCTCAAGTCTTAGCCATCCAAAATTCATCTTATGATTAGACTATTCACATAGAAGGAGAAAATCAAACTCAAATTTAATTTTTACAACAAAGACTCACAATTAAGGAGAGAATTTTAAAAAATCTTCCTATTTCTATTGTCCTACAAACTCCAAAACTGTAATACCAAATAATAAATTCTAATAAGAAAACTAGAATTAAACAAATTAAATATTAATCAACTAGTAAATTCTTTACTAAAAAAATGAAGATAAACTATGAAGGAGAATCAATTGATTCCAATTTTGCATAGTAAAACACGAGTATCTATGAATTATTATCTCAGTAGCTTCATCACACATAGAACAAATAATAAATTTACATATTTTAAGATTACATCTTTCATTATTAGTAAGAAGTCTACTATAGACTATTTTCTATAGGAAAAGCTTGATTTTAGGTGAATCTGCCCACTTCTAAACAAGATTAAAAATATTTTAATTATAAGTCTGAGACTGATTAGGGATAAAAATAATTTTATAAACAACTTTAATGAAAAATACTCCATTACTGGTAAACTTCCAAAAAAATAAGTCTTACCCTCTACAAGATTAAGAAGATTAATTTGAATAGTCAATTCACATATAAATTTAGAGAGACAATTCTTTTCTAACTTAGTTCCAACAACTATTATCCTTTATTTAACATTTTGATATAAGATATAAAGAGCAAAATTCACAACTCAAGTTAGATCATGACTTGAGAAAAAAAAATTGATTCATTTAATTAAGAAGTTTAATATGAAATTTAAACCTATCTTATTAAAAATATAAAATTTCAACGTGACTTGTTTATAATTAAAATGTTTTTTGTTTATTAAATATCTTTTTGAAGTAGCTTTTATGTTTATTTATTACTTGAGGATATAACAAATATTGTTATGTTAGAAGAGAAGATAAAACAAAACAAAAAATGTTTGATCACAAAATAATGTAATTTTTAAAAAACATTAAATTCAATAACTTTTTTTTACTAAAAGTTTGTATTGATTAAATAAACTTTACAAAAAATTCACAAGAATAAAGAAAAATTATAAATTTATTAAATTCTAATTTAAAATTTTAAAATATATATTGATTATAATATTATGTATTTATAAATATCTTATCCATCTATAATTTTATATGTATGTTGAACATAAATATATCCTCTTATCCATTTTTTAAATAATAAAAAATCAATGTTTATAAAATAATTACAGAGAGAAAGGAATAAATTAATAAATTAAGATAAATTAATGAAAATCTGAGATATCGGTAATAATTATAAAATTAATTAAAACATATTGATAAAATTTTTAATTATTATTTATTGATATGTTATCATATTATTAAGAATTGTTAATTTTTATATTAATTATATTTATTGTATGTTTTAATTAATTAATAACATAAAAATATATATTTTTTAAAATAATGACTTAAATTTATGAATTGAAGGATAGAAAGGGTTTGTAGGGAGTAAATTAGTAAAAGTAAATGATTTTCTTTTTTGTTCAACTGGTCAAAGTAAAGTTTTATATTTAGTTTTTGTCGTATCGGGCCGAATTGCAATGGGCTAGAAACGTGATGGCCCAACGAGGGAGGGAGAAGAAAAAAAATATGAAGGATGAATTGCATCCCACTGAAACACGAAAAGGAATAAAAAACATAGATGAGAAAGAAGTGAGTGAAAGCGTGGCGAATGGATTTGACGGAGAAGGATCTATTCGGCGAAGATTCCGACAACGAGCAAGATGGGACCCACTCTTCGTCCCCCTCTTCCTCCTCCTCCGCTTCTTCTTCCTCTTCCTCTTCTTCCTCCTCTTCCGCCTCTTCCAGTGACGGTGCCGCCGACTCCTCCTCCGCAAGCGGAAGCGCAAGTAGCGGCGCCGAAGATGACGACGAGAATGGAGACGTCGTAGATAGCAGCAAGGCCCATGGCTATCAGCATCGCGACTTCGAAGACAAAGATCTATTTGGCTCTGACAATGAAGATTACTGTAAAACCCTCGCTAAAAGTCCTTTCCCTATTCCTGGTAAATTCTCCTTCTCTTTTCGTTTTTTCCACTTTTTTGAATTGTATGTTGGACAATTGTTTTGCTTTCCTTTGCTAGGGTTAAAGGTTTTTGTTGCGTTAGAAATAGTCTGTTTTAGTCTTGTTGCTTGCACATGAACAAATCCTGTAATGCTGTGGACTTTTAGGATACAATTGGAAAGTGAAATACTGTGTCTGATGGCGAAAAACAGAGTCTGTTACGCGGGAAGGAATGTGTTTTGGTAAACGTAAAAAGCATTTATAGTAGGAAAAAAATGGTGGAATCTCGCTCTAGTTGGGTTGGACATGTGTGGAGAAGAGCAATAGAAGCTCCATTAAGGAAGTAAGTATATTATATGGAGGGTAGTCCTTTCACTAGAAGTAGTGGGGGACCAAGAAAACTATAGGCAAAGTAATTAAAAGGGATTTAGAGGTCAAGGATTTGTTTGTACATATGATTCATGATAGAACATTATGATGTCGTTTGATCCATGAAGTCAGACTTCACTTAGTGGAAAAATGCTTGGTTGTTGTTTTTGTGTGAAAAATGGTACTTCATTGCATTACAAAGCATTTTAGGATTTCATCCTGCCACTGTGATTCTGTATTCTTGCAGCTGTTGAAAAATGTTGATGAATTAAGAAAGTGTCATTGTTGATTTTATTTCCTAATTCGTTTTATGGCAAGATGTGGTTTTATCTGGCAGTATTGCCTGCCATCCGCAATGCAAATAATCAGGGTAGAGGGGGGTTTGGCCGTGGCCGTTGGCAGCAAAATGATAGAGGAGCTGGTCTTCTTCCTCGTCCTGGACCTTATCCTCAGCGGCAGAATTTTGGGTATGGAAACAGGTTTCAGAATGGCCGTCACGATGAGCGGTTTGTCTCTGAGTTGAAGCTCTCAAAGAGTGAAGAAACTCTGTCAAGAAAGTGCATTGCTTTTCAGGAGGTAGGCGGATGGCATTTTCATGTATTTTATTGCTTCTGCTTCAAGCAACTTTATGGTCAATATGCTTCAAGAATTTGAGAAATTTTTATGAAAATAGAGTTTTTATATCTCAATTTTAAACTTTCCTCGTTATGTTGAAACTGGAGAAGAAAGGAAAAGGAAATATTAGGTTTGCATTGGACATGCAAATTGTTTGATTTGAATATCAGACCTAATGTTTTTCTCCTTTTTCATGTCTTCTTAACGCGTTGGTTTGGTAAACTGTTATTAAATTGGCTTTCTGGAGGTATTTGTTCTGATTATGTTTTCTTGATTACTCTAATAGCCTTGTGAAGTTGGTTGCTATAGTCGTGTCGAAAGCGGAGAAGTGTACTTCGACGATCGTAGCTTGGTAAGCCATTTGGGATCCTCTAGTTTTTTATTTCTTTTCATTTGGTTCTCTTTGCAATAGATTGTCATGATATTATGACCAGTTAAGTACTTTCTTTATCCTGTTTATTTAGAGACTTTTTAAGCGTCACATCACTGAAGATATTGGAGCTAATTTGAATGAAGGTTATGATACATTCACTCCCAAAAAAGGTGTTTGATTTCTCTACAATTTAAAGTTCCATTTTGTACAGTTGGTTAGATTTTGAAATGCTACTCACATGATTTGTGCATCAGAAGTGAGACTCCACTATTTATATTTGTAACCCTTTTTCTTCTGCTGTTAATCCGTGAAACAGACTTAGGCTCAGAGGGATTTGGTGATCTCCTTGCTTGCATTAGAGACAAAAATATCCCTCTACAAAACATTCATTTTGTGGTATGATGTATTTCATGATCTAAATTTTCAAAATATTTTGATTTGTTGCTGAATCAATTTCTGATGGTCATGCATCAATCTTTTTATCTTTGCAGACATTCCGTAACAATCTTAACAAGGTAATGAATTTTTCATTTTGAATTATATTTGCTCTGTGACAGAATGGTTTTTAGGAATTTCTAGGCTAAGTAGTGATAACCTCGTGAATTGTTAAGTTTAGCTGTGAGTAAGTGATGAGCATGTGAGTATTAGCCAAGTACTCCTGTCTTTGCAGATATTGGCTACAGCTTATATTCGTCATGAGCCTTGGGAAATGGGAGTGCACAAAAGGAATGGCGTTGTCTATCTTGATGTGCATAAGTTACCAGAAAGACCGCAAAGTGATTTAGATCGCAGGAGGTACAGGCTTACATGTCTGTTTATTTTATCATGCTTGGCTGTGTAAATCTTTAATATATTCAATGGAGCAGCAAGCAAGGAACATAATATGGATGTTTGTCTGTGTGAGAGTGAACTTGATAAATATGATGAAAAACGGATAGATGTTAGGGAACTTGTTCAGGGATAGTGTTTGGTATCAAGCTGATTGAAATGTTATGCATCCACTGCACACTATCTTTTTCTCTCAACATGGTTGAAAATAGTGCCTTGTATTGAAACCAAGCTGGAAAACTCAAGTTAATTGTCATCGGAAGATATTTACACAATGTGAAATGTTTAATTTTAAAAGTGAAGGGGGGAAAATGGGGATGCTTTATTTGTGAAACGATGGTGTTTTGCTTACAACTGCTTAACTGGTAGACAATGGAAGATTTCTTCCCACTTTTTTCTTTCATTTTTTTGATGGGATAAAGCTTTTAAAAAAATCTGTCTGGCAATTAGATGTTATGTAGGATATTGTTTTGAGAGCCTTGCCACTGAAGATCCTAGAAGAGCAGATGGAGAGGGGATACATAATGTTGATGCCAATGTTGAATTCTGTTCCATGATTAAGACAAAATTAGGAGCTCATCGTATCTTGATGGGTGCTGAGATGGATTGCTGTGATTCAACTAATGATGGAAAGAGATTTTATGTGGAGTTAAAGACGAGTTATGAGGTTGACATAGTTCTGGCTGCTTTATACTTCCTTCATCTCATCTTTTATTTTTGTTTTTGAATAGCGTTTTTGTGGCCTGACGATATGAATCTATCATTTCTTATGATGCAGTTAAATTATCATACTGAGGAAAAATTTGAGAGAGAGAAATTATTGAAGTTTTGGGTACATTTCCTAGCTTATGTGATCAAATTTTATGCCTTTCAACTCCATGTGTGCCTTTTTCACTTGTATGATGAATTCAACAAGACTCTGTTACTGCTTGCAGATTCAATCATTCCTGGCAGGTGTTCCATATATTGTCATAGGATTCAGGTAATTGTTGCTGTTTCATATCATTACACAATCTTTTATTTTACTTTTATTAACATTGTGCTGATAAAGTTACTCAAGTCAACTAGATTTGGAAAAATTGATTTCAGCTTATTGAATTATAATTCTCTTCTTCCACTTGGTGTGCTTCACAAATGAAAAATCATACTGCTAGTGGTTTCTACTTTGTCTTTATATTCATTTATCCTAGCTGCGATACACAGGGATGATGCAGGTCGTCTTGTTCGGACCGAAAGACTTAGAACCAAAGATATAACACAGAGAATAAAAATGAAGAACTATTGGCAGGTACGTTTTAACTGCTGTAACTAAGGTGCATGGAGGGCTAATCTTTGTTTTGGTCAGCTATTGCATTAGTTAACTACAATTAATAGTAAACACCCCTGTCGGTCAGGATGTTCCAAATGTTATTTCCTTCTCAAACATCAGTATGTCTACGTAAGTATGTGCAAAGAATCATTGCATAGCTAATCAACAAAATTGTTGGCAGGGAGGAGTCTGCTTGGCATTTGCCGATGAGGTATTATGCTGGCTTTATGGAACAGTCAAAGAAAGTGAGTATTACTCGATCCCATTTGTTTTGCGCGGTTACTACACGTGTACACTTAAAATGGACTATGAAATCTGCAGGAACACCTTTTCTAATCAAAATACAGTTCATTATTATACAGGGAACTTATTTTGTGTTTTTGATGTGTTTATTTTTTGGTTTCAGATGAAGATTACATTTTGCAGTTTGCTCCACCTTTCAACCGTTTGGAGCTTCTGCAAGCGCAGTCTTGCCCAGATGCAATTACTAGTCATCTGGAGCTGTTGTGAAGATTTGGAGACCTTAACAGTTATTATTCTAAACTATTCAATATACGAAGGGGAATCAACTATAGATTTTTCCCCGCTGCTTTGATCAGTTTACGAACTTTTGGGATGGGGGTTATAACCGATGAGTGCGGAAAATTGCATTCACATCTTTATAGAAATTTGCGAAAACATTATGGCCTTGTTTAGTTGGAATATAGTTTTTCGTTTTTAATATTCTCAGCTTTATGCTTCCATTTTCTAAACTTTAGTATGGAATGTTTGAAGATGCGTTCACTTTATTGAAGCAAAAAATTGTTTTCCAAGAATTACATATTTAAAAACAGTGTACATACAAATACAATTTTAATTTAATAACATTCTATAGAACATGTCATTTGGAATGACTATAATGTTTTTTCCAGGGGACGAGATACGGAAACGAATTGTTTTCTATATGATCCTGAACCCATGTTTAGCAATTCATTGTCAGCATTTTGAAATCAAATGATAATTGGAACACATGACTCGGTATCAATTATTTTGGAAGCTAGAATAAATGAGATTCAAGTTCTGTTTTAGATATGACCTTTTTTAAACAAAATAATTGAAAGATAAAATTGCTCCAACTCTCCTGTCGGGTGGAGATGATGGAGCCATTCTCAAATGCATAAAAGCACAAGTGTAACTTTGAAAGTCGAAGGAATATCACATTCTAGTATTGTACATGCAATTTCGATTAAGACAATTTTGGGGGACGATTACTAAGCCGTCTACAATGGAATTAGCATTTGGCTGAAATTAAACTGCAGTTTTTGTTTGACAAATGGAAAGCTATAATTGTGTATAACTTTTAAGTTAACCTATAATATGCATCGGACAAATTTCCATGACAAATCCATTTGATGCTAATAAACCAAAATCTTCGTATGTATTTGCTAACTTACTGAGTTGTTTGTGAACATGCTACTACAAAGTCTTCGTCAAAAATTTACTAATCACTCTCTGCTAACGGGTCATCTGTCTTCTTTGTGAAAATCTTCCTCTAACCTTAATTATCGAAATTCTCAGGGGATTTGTTGTTTGACAGAATGAAGATATTCTTCAAACCCCTCCATGACTGTATTCAATGCTCGAGTGCTTCAACCTATTCACACAAATGTACTCTTTCATTCGCTAACCTTGATTGGTAAACTTCTCAAGGGCTTGGTTATATGACCAAGTGGAAAGATTCGTTATACTTTTTCATAATTCCGCACAACAGTTTAGTTCTTGGTTATATACATTCATCCATGTTCTCCACCCTAACTTCTTCATGGGATCAACGCTCTATATCATAATGTTATATTCCTTATCACTACTATCCCTCCACCCCCACCCACCAAAAAAAGAAAAACAAAGATAGTCATTCTTCCTCGCATGATAACCATTTCAAATCCACTTCATTAATTGTCATCTAATTTCATTTCACCTACTCCACTTAATTTTGTACTTGTGTAATCAATAGTGTTTCTTGCACATTATATGTTTCTCATGTGAGAATGAGGCGATAATATCAAAGTAAAGGTTTGTGGTGATTTTGGTAGGACCAACGGCTATATGATGATTTAGTATAAATAGTATCTAAAAACGTATATCGATGGAAGGTGATGTATCTAATTAAAAAATATTATTTTCTTAAATACACTGTAAATAGTTGTGGGTTTCTAACATGTATGAAACATTAACCATGTCGATAAATCTACTTGCACATATGCAAAGTAAATAAGTTTCTTGTAGAAAGAATACCCGGTTGAAAATGTTGAAAATACAAATAAAATAATAATTGATATTTTTTTCCTAGTTACATATTTATATATTTATGTGCTTTTTGTAAAAATATAAAATTACAGATGATCTAACATCATTTTCTTTTACCTAGCTCGACTTTTATTTTACCCTCTAACCCAAAAGAGAGATGATATTAAAGGATTCAGAGAAAATGTTTTCTACAGATGTTAAAAATAAAGTATCTTCTAATAATAGATTTACTTAAACCCTTAAAATAATGAAATTAAATTCAAAATCATAAGCTCAAGTAATCCAAGCCTAGTAGGAGCATCCTGTGCATAATGACATGTTTACATGTAGCAATTCCGCCTGTACTTGATAAGTTGGTATCATGATTCATGGTCATATATTGGTGTATGCTCCAAACGTGATGATGATATAGCGTTGAATCCTATGTCGTCGTTTAGAAAAAGAAGTAACGTGACATTGCATTGGTGTTATTTTCTTGGACTAAACTGAATTATGTTTTCATTATAGAAACCTCTTTCTTGACTTGTATGTCTCTGTGTTACACAATTGATTACTTTGATTTTTCATATGCATCGCTATGATGATGAATTTGAGAGATCCTACGGCGAAAACAAAACTAAGTGAGGAATATATTTATCAACAAAAAAAAAAAGATAAAAATATACTTTTAGTTCTCGTAGGACATTAGCAATAAGCAATTTAAAAGGAAAGGAAAAAGTAGGTTAGGTCTTAGGTGGAACAGAAACAAGGAAAATACAAGAATGAGAGGTAAGAGAGAGACACGTAGACAAAACACAAACATGGTCCCACTGAATGTGCTAATCACGTGCAAGGCATAGTTGATGGCGATGTAAATTGGAGTTAAAGAGAGGGTGACGTTAAAAGGCAGGGAGAGTTGTGGTGTGTTGCCTATTTACAAGCAACAAAAAGTCCTTACTTTTATAATAACTTGTTAAACATTTGTACACACTTGTTATAAAGAAAGATAAAAAAAAAAGTGTTAGATGATGATATAAGTGATGTGACCATGAGAGGTCAAAAAATGATTTTTTATAAAATATTGTAAAAAACATTAGTATTTTATTATCATATGGAACGTTGTCACGTAGAGTTCATGGAAAAGATGGGTTTCCTTTTGTTGTCACTAGACTCAAACATAGGCTTCTGTTCATGGAGGAATCGATATGGAATGAGATAAGATTGGATCAGAGGAATGATATTTTCAAACAGTTGGAAAAGAAAGGTTAACAAGAGCGTTTTACTATCGTACATTATTTTACTTTGACTTAAATATGAAATAAACACAACATGAGTAGAAGAAATTTAATGAGCAAAAATGTGACCAAAGTATTGTGAAAATTGAATTGTTTTGTAAGCTAAGTTGTCGTATTACAATTTTCCCTTGCCATTGCTTTCTCAAAGAGGTATTTTGCTGTTCCATATTTTGGTTTTTTATATGCTGAGAAAAGAACTATCCATGGTCAAGAAAAAAGAAAAAAGAAGATACTAACTAGTTAGTAATTAAGGACATGGAAATTGAAAATTGGAGAGTCGTGTCCTATCAAGGCATTAGGGGACATGGAATGTAGATGCAACCAATAAGGACAGTGGTTTGGGTGGTGGATAAGAACTAAGGAAAGCCTTGACTGAAAAAAAGACCTAATGAAAACCCAACCAAGTGCAGTCATGTTACGGACTGGAGGCTACAATAATAATGTCACCCATATACTCCATTTTTTTAAAAAATTTTAATAGATGAAAAGAAGAGAGATGTAAAATAAAACAAAATAAATAATATATAATGTTTTGAAAATATAAAAAGTAAAAGAAAAAATTGAAACAATGTGCCTTTGTATGAACATTATTGTTGGATACTAAATTCCTTTTTATTTTATTTTATTAAATATAAAGAAAAACCTCAAGTAGTACTCTGCAAAGCTGGATATTGCTCCTCACTAGCATGCAAATATTTGGGACAAATTAAAGGCTGGCAATAATATGCTATACCCATCTATGGCCGATTCCTTATGTTCTGCCTGTTTCGGTATTCCATTTTCACAAAGTTCTATGCCAGTGTTAGCTGTGAAAAATAGTTTTTGATGTGGTTGAGTTTGTCGTCGAGACATTACAGCCATTACAAAGTAAAAATATAGATTTTTTGAAAGAAAATATAGAGTCCTAACTATTTGAAAATTATTGTGGATCCTCTCAAATTTAAGTCATGTTTGATAACGTTTAAATTTGATTAGATAATTGTGTTATTTTTCCTAAAATGTTTTAAAAGGGTGTTAATAATTACTGAATGTTCATTTAAAAATAAGTTAAACTAAATTTGTACTTAAACTCGGAATTATATTTAAGGAAACGAATCGTTGCTATCAATACAGTGATCCTACTTTTTGGACTAATTGAATGGATAATGTCATGTTATAAGAAAAAAAATATATATGAGGACAATTAAAAACTTGATTTTAAATAATAATGCTGATACTTTTTTTATTAGTCATGTTATGATATCAAAAAATATTACAATCTAAACACACGTTAATATACGCACTTAGGGTATAGGGTAGAAGAATAATTTCTTTAAATCTTCCTCAAATGATCCAATTTGTATGTAGGTTGATTTTTAAAAAATCATAATTCATTTTTATAATAACTATAAAATGGATTCTACAATGGGTATTTCAAAATGCTTAATTGGAATTTGAAAATTTAAAAATATTTAATCCGAACGACTATCCTTAAGAGTCAATGGCAACACCTTCTATCTAAGTTCTAACTCTTACATTCTAGAGTCGCATGTTGAAAAACAATTTTTTTTTTTATATTTATTAAACACATTTTCCATTGTAATCCTTATATGATTTCAAAAGTTTGTCTTAATAATATTCTTAATATTAAATAGAAAATTTGAAATGAATTCATTTATTACTGTAAAAAATAATAAAATATTGAATACTGTTATCGTTAAATAAATCTCTGTAAGACTAATAAGGAAAAGATTAGGATGAACTACTTAGTGAAAACAAAGTTTTATGATAATAAGTTAAAAAAATGTATTGTGTGTTTATGAATAATCGTGGAGTGCTGTTCCGGTATTAACCTGTGTGTGTGAAAGAAAATACACTTTAAAAACTGAAATACCTTAAAAAAGGAAAAACAAAATATCTTCTCCGAAAGAAAAGCACTAAATGTGGAAAAAAGTAAAACAAAAATATTTGGGAGGAATAGAATAGAATAGAAATGGGGAATCATTGTTTGTCTGTAAATTGCATCGCTCCCTGAAACTAAAACTCAAAACCCTAGCTGCCCTCAACACCCCCGCCACCACCATCAACACCGCCACCGCCACCACCACCAACGGCGTCGTTGAAGTAACGGCATGATTAGGTGAGAACCGATTCGAATCGAATAGAGGAGTAAAAAAGCCAAAGAGTTCGTTATGTACAGAGAGCGAGTCGGCGTCGGATCCAAATCGGAGGTTGCTTCCGTTGATCGGAAGCGAATCAACGACGTTCTCGATAAACAGCTGGAACGATCCTCCCCGTCCACATCCAGAGCCATCAACGGCAAGGATAGGTCCTCCTCTTCCCTCTTATCCGCCAACAAGGATCACAGAGACTCTCGCTCTACCTCTGCTCCTATCTCCAAGAATTCCAACGCTTCTGATGGTTCGTTTACGATCTGATCTCTCTTCTATTATTTGTTCTCTTTAATTATATCGTTACATGTAGTTAGGGTTATGTTAATTCTTGCTACAATCGACTTCACTATTTACTGTGATGTATTATTCGAAGACTATTGTAGAGATTCTGAATTGAGGTGTGTACTTTTGAAACGTGAGAGGAACTTGAGGATTTAAATGGTGAAATTGATTTGGACGAACAGCTTGGAGAGGTTTGGATTGGAGAGGTGGAGTGTAATATGATGAGCTAACTTCGTTTTACATGCATTGTTGGATGCAGAGGAGTCTGAAACGGATAGTGAAGAGTCTGATGTTAGTGGTTCTGACGGAGATGACACGTCTTGGATCTCGTGGTTCTGCAATTTGAGAGGGAATGAATTCTTTTGCGAGGTTGATGATGATTACATCCAGGATGATTTCAACCTATGCGGATTGAGCAGTCAAGTGCCTTACTATGATTATGCGCTGGATTTAATTTTGGATGTTGAGTCCTCCCACGGTAAACTTGTGTTTATGTTTTTCATACTATTCAAGTCTGAAATATGTTGTTATATGATTTGTGTGTTGTTCATGATACTCTCCAAAGCTCATTGATTCTGTTGTGATAAACAACTTCTACGCTTGCATGTGTTGATTACATGTTTGAAGTATGTTTGAGTAAACAGTTTAATTAAGCATCTTATTTAATAAGCTTTTATCACATATTGGCTTAAGGCATAAATTTGAATATGAAACTTATTCGACTAAGTTAAAAGGAGCTTGTTTTGATAAGTTATATTAATAAGTTTATTATAATAAGCTACGAGAAGTTTATGAGAGTCGTAAGATATTTTACAAGTTATCTGTAAGTTCTTCAAAACGTCCCCACTTATTTTGTACTTAATTTTGTTTTAACTGTAAAATGGATTGGTGGGATTGTATAGGTGACATGTTTACTGAGGAACAAAATGAGTTAATTGAATCAGCAGCTGAGATGCTTTATGGTCTAATTCATGCTCGGTACATATTGACAAGCAAAGGAATGGCTGCCATGGTAAGATTTTTCTGCCACTAATTACTACTGTTTTACTCCTTTACTTTTGATAAGATTTGTTTTTGTACTGTTAATAATGTTGGAATTTTCACAGTTGGACAAGTACAAGAACTATGATTTTGGCAGATGCCCTAGAGTTTATTGCTCTGGACAACCTTGTCTCCCAGTTGGTCAGTCAGACATTCCTAGGTCTAGTACCGTGAAAATATACTGTCCTAGGTGTGAAGACATTTACTATCCCCGGTCCAAGTACCAAGGCAGTATCCTTGTATATTATTGAATGTTGTGTGAGTTTTAGTTGATTATACATCAACATCCGGCCAGGAAGACATTTTTTTATTCACGTGCATCTCTCCCCTTCCTTGATTTTGCCTTTTAAATTCATTTTTTGATCTATCAACTGTCAAGTACGTAGTTTAAATGGATATTTCTTTTTAAAATTTGTTTTGTTGGCAATTCACCACTAACACACACCCCCCATCTGTTGTTTTTCATTTGCAATGCAGAAAATATTGTTTTTGCTTGTCGATCATAAACTGCATAATTGTATGCATTGATGCTGATATGCACAATACTAAGCTGCTATATAATGGAGTTGAGAGTAATATTTAAATAATGAATGATTTAATTATGGGGTTTGGGGTTCATAATCCAGATCTTTTGATAAGTGATATTAGATACCTGGAAAATGTTTTGTGACTGTCTGAAATTTCTGTTTGAGGGAAAAAATTATTTTGCAATTTTAATTCCAGGTGTCTGGTGGCTGTATATCCCAAGGTTAAGGATGGTTTGTGGACCTTTGGGCCTATGCAAGTTTAGAAACATATTTGTTATCAACATCATGGAAAGCCTAAAAGTTTCAGGGAAGAAAAACTGCAGAACTTCTAATGCAGGCAAACATTATTGTTGTTATGCTTCCATTTTTACAAATTATTATTATATTCTGATAAGCATGTGAAACTTGAGAAGATTGCATGTCTGTATAAATTTTGTAATATATAATTGTGGCTTACGTTCCACACTATCCTGTACTTCCCAAATTTCCTTGAGTCTATTCTAGACATTGATGGAGCTTATTTTGGAACTACCTTTCCTCACCTGTTCCTGATGACTTACGGACAACTAAAGCCACCGAAACCATCACAGAGCTATGTTCCAAGAGTTTTTGGCTTCAAACTTCACAAGCCCTGAAGCTGAAATGTTAAGCTTCCATGAAAGTAAGAGTTTGCCCATGTCTTACTTAAACTCTTTCTTAGTACACTTTACGACGTGCTGCTGATCACAAGCTTTCCAAATCAGTAAAATCTGGAACCTCTGTTTTATTTGTTTTAGGAGCGTGTTGTAAAGAAAATTGCAGACATGTCATGCAAGTGCTTAGTTTCAATTTCAGCTTGGAATTCAGTGAGCTTCAAGTTCAATGAGAAAGTGCTTAGGTACTTCAATGCACACTTAATTGCTAATTGTATTCTTGCGATTAGTTTCACTTCATGTTGTTTATGATTGTCTCAGATTACAGATCTCCTGCTATTTTATATTATTTTATTCTATTTGCTTCCTTCCCACGTTTCCGCAGCGTTTGAATTTGGATTGGACTCGATGGGTTCACACATTATTTTTAGTCTGATTTTATAGTTCAATTGCCATAATGATAATGTTAAGCCCGTCCTCCCAAATCAATAATGATTATATAGAATATGAATACATTATACCCCTCAAAGGTCTGTGATTTGTGAATCTTCTCACCATGCGCTTGCTTGTGTGCATGCATAAGTACTCTCTAGATGTGGAAGAATGAAGATATTATTTTGAAATTTGACGTCTGATATAATAGAAGACATTAACATCTCGGTGAAGAGTTAGTTTGGACCAAATGTTCCTTGCTTGAAAGGCACATTTTTATTATCTCCTTCGGAGAGTACCTATCTTTCCAATCTAACAGGATCATTTGGCAGGATCTTCTTATATTGATGTAAATTTAAAAATTCTTATATTAAATTTGAACTTTTCATTTGACTAACGGATTATAATTTATTACTTTATACGCTGTTAGATATAAGTTAAATGAAAAGTTTAAATTTAATTTAAGAGTTTTTAAATTTATATTATTGTAAAAAAAAAATTTCTTATATATATATATTTCTGGATTAGTCATAAGTTCTTTGACTAATATTAGTCTAGCAGATCGAGGGCTGTTTCACTAATAGGAGAAAAGTGGGGCAAGACCAAAATATATATACAAACCAAACCTCAAATGGTAGCGATAGCGGTGTAGCAATTATTTGATGTTCACTTGTTCTAAAATGAAACTTACGTTGTAATTGCTCTTGTAGATTATAAAAAAAATGTGGGAATATACGTAACATCTCTCTAATATATTTTTTGAAACCTAAGTAATATGTAAATTTCTAAATAATTTAAAACTTTATTATGAAAAAAAGTTTATAAATGGACTTTTGAATCTTCAAATTATCTAAGTGGATGTCTCGATTAGAATTTGTTAATGTTCATCGATTTAATTTTTAAAATATAAGAATTCATTAAAAAATCATCAACTGGTTTGAAAAATCTTTAAATAATTGTTTAGTTTAGGGATTGAATGAGATTAATAACTTGGGCCTTTTTGAAGAGACAGTTTAGTTGTGCAAGTGTAAGTAATTGTGTATATAGTCCAAATAATATTTCAAAAACCGTAGTTAGTCCCGGAAATATTTCTGTCAACGGAAGGAAAAAGGTGTTTTCACGTAACTAGTGACAGGATAAAAATAAATGATACGAAAAAGTTTTCACGAAAAATTTGGCAAAAGCAGTTTTCGATGACTTGTCAATTTTCTAGTTTGTTATTATTTTTATCATTTAACCAATAAAATACAATGGCATTGTATTCGTTTAAATTTGCGCCAATTTTTTTCATACCAACTAGCATTGCTCGTTGTGATAGTTATTAATGCAATATTCAGAAAGTATTTACGTTTTATTAATTGAAAAAATTGTGCTGAGTCAATGTTAGGGAAACGCAGGCGATTAGACATATAGAAGTGTCTACAGCAGAACATTGTTTCTTAACAATTTTATACTCTGGATATATAGTTCGTGAAAAGATGGATATATTCAATGTTTTATGTAAATTTACAATATTTTGTGCTTATATTTTCGCAGTCGCATTGTTGTTTCTTGTTATTCAGTTGTAAACTTCCAATCATATGTACTTTCTTTACCGTTAGTGTACCGGTGTTTCAGAAGATATTTGAAGTATTAATTTATTTTACAATTTCAAAGATTTATTTGACCAAATCAAAATTATTTAATAAAGGAACATATATTAGTAAGTTAAATGTTTCAACCACGATTGGACTTATCACAATACTTTCTCCCGTATTAGGTTAAAGTTCGGCTTGAAAAGCATATAGACTCGCAATTTAAACACTACAAAATGCATTTTAGTAAACCAGTTAGCGACGGCTCAAGCATCCTTTCAAAACAACACAAAATTTATCCTTACGTTAGGCACGTCGTATTATGAGAGCAGAAAAGCCAAATCGGTTAAATAAACACGACAAAATCACAAAATAAAGAGGAAGCTATTTCGCTTCGCAAACATAAAGCACTTTCAAGTTAAATCGAAAAGAACCAACTCAAAAGTTCACATCGAATTCAAACAAAACGGCTCTCTAAACGTAACCGACTCATTTCTCAAGTTAATTTGCTCAAAATCTTACATCAACCAAAATGCTTAACCCTCAGTCTGTTCTCTCAACCTCCGAATGGTGCTCCGCACAGTGACAGCACTCGCAGTACTGTCAAGATAGTGAAGAAAGTCAGCTAGTTTATTTATAAGGGAAAAATATAATTTGAGTAGAAAGGGAGCAGAAAGGGCATTACTTCAAAGTGTAGGCACCGCCTGCTTTTACTTTACCACAATCCTTGCACCCCCATATTCCTACGGCCTTCCTTTTCACAGCATACTGCAACAAATATTTTTTTCACCATTAGAATTCAAATCTTCTCATGGATTTTTCAAAGAAAGTTCAGCATTGATAAAATATGGAAGACTTACCTTTCCACAAAATTCACAAAAAAACTTGCTATGTTGACTGACTTCCATCTTCTTAATCTGCTTCCGCAGACTGGCACCATATCGGGTACCTAACATAAGAAAACACGATGAAGTGGTTCTCAATATGCATATCCAATGACCTATACCTGAATCCTATTCGATTGAATAGATACATTATGTCAGAATTTCGAAATTCTATGTTCAAAATCATTCTTGTTTTCTTATTTATTGCCTTTTTATATTATTTAGGAAGAATACCCCCTCATTTTTTTCCTAAGAAACTTTTAGAAATTCAAGAAATGAAATTGAAAAAAAATGTATGTCGAAAGAAATTTGCAAACGGCACAAGTTTCTTGCAGTTATGTTTCAGCAAAATGAAACAAGATAATATAGAATAGAACAAAATTACTATTCCTTAGTTGGGATATTTTTATGATAGAACACTAAAATAATGGTTCTGTCTACTATGCCTAAATTGGTAGGAAAGAAAAAAAAAAGATTTGCCGGTTAGACGACTAGAATGCATTATATTAGATTCCATTCAATTTTAAACAATCTAAATGATGAAACCTAATATCGTTCCAACCATTTCCATCGATCCAATAATAGACTGGTGAAAAATAGAATTGTTCCTAGTAAATCCTTAAAATAGTGAACTGGCTAAAAAGCAAGAGAGTCAACAAATAGCAATATTACATTTGTCCAAAATCTTAATTCTCAACCTGGCTCCAAATAGCAAGTATTTTAGCAATTTTGTTCTAGTAAACATTCATATCTTTTAACAAATACAATAATCAATAACAAATCCCTCATGCCTACATGGAATCAAGTTGCAGCATATTTATAAAATCAAGCATACATAGGGATCCAAAGCCGGATAGCTTTACTTTTTGAGGAATGGGAAACCAGACAGCGCATTCTTGTATCAGAGTCTACGTTTGAATATCTAAACCAAATGTGATTAAACCAAATAGAATGGAGTGAAATGGAATAAATTACCATTATTATCGCATGACAATATTTTAACTGAAACATTGTTTCAAACTAAGAACATAATCCTCATAGACAAGTTGGAGCCAAATTCGATAACGCAAAAAGCGAACTATGTTTCATGAAAAACATAACTACAAAACTTACCATATTTTCCTACAATGCCTGCCTTCTTCGTTCTCTTAGTCTGCATCGAAGAATGAAACACACATACATAGCTTTATCTATGCGATATAAAAAATAAATACTAATATAGAATTCAGATTTATCTTAGTTAACATCACATCAAAATATTTTTATACGAACTAAATATTGTAAAAAGCGAGCATAAGAAGGAGCTACGATATAGAAAATAAAACTTTGAAATATGAAAGAAAATGGAATGAAAAAAAGAGGAGAGTACCATTTTTTCCGAACCGAAGGTGCTGCCGCTCGGTGTCTCTCTGTGTTAGACCAGCGAGTGAAGTGAACACTTTCACACAAACCCTAATTATGCTTCCCTCGTCTCATTTTGGGACTGGAACAAAACTATAGGTTGATAATGATAACTTGGCTACAAATCCGTTGTAGTCTAGTTGGTTAGGATACTCGGCTCTCACCCGAGAGACCCGGGTTCAAGTCCCGGCAACGGAACTAGCTTTTTTAAGCTTAATCATTTTATTAATATTCTTGAAATAAATGTGATAACTAAAAATATTGCTGTAGTACTGTAAAATTTCAAAAAATAAAACTGACATTTTTTCACATTAGATCCATAACAAAATTAATTAAATTAGCAATCACTCAAAAGAGAATATTATACCTTTAACTCCTAAGTAACAAATATGAGGAATATATATAAAAAAAATTGTAATTAGTAAATATTTCATGCATTTAATGAATATGGTTAAATTTAAAAAAACCATATATTTAATCGGATTACTTTCCAAAAAGATTAAAAAGGATCTGCACATCCAATAGCTTCAGTGGAAATTCATGGCATGAACCCCTACTCTAAATCATGGCTAAGCACAACTACTATCCGAGAAGAGTACCAAAACGGAATACATATCGAGATCTAATATCATATGAACTACGAAGCTAAGTAACCTCCCAAAAAAACATCAGAAGTTTAGTAACTTTGAAGTTTATACCAAGAATTAGAGTTTGTTAGTTAATAGCTAACAGCTACTTTCTCAAATATATGTCCAAACTTGTCTTGCTGAACCATGTTTTCCAAAATTCGATCTTCCAATTCTGCAGATGACAAATTTTGACAATGCTGAGCCCCATCAGAATTAAAGAAAACCAATTCAGATAATTGATCTTTCTCAGCTTGACGACAACATTTTTCCTCATCCCTTGTCCCCACTGTGATGAGACGATAAGTGTACACAAATTTCCTTTGGCCAAGCCGGTAAGCGCGACATATTGCTTGCCACTCCACTGAAGGATTCCACACAACATCAAGTAAAACAACCCTTGAGGCACCAACCAAACTGATACCTTCATAACAAGCCTTAATTGATGCTAGCATTACCCTTACTTTGCTATTGGGATCGTTAAAAGCTTTCATTGAAGCTTGACGCAGCTTTGCTTCAACTCTTCCATGAATTCGTAACACCTCGACTCCTTCAGTCCAACCAAAATGATATTTAAGCTGGCTTGCCACAAGCTTCAAAGGATCAATATGCTCACTAAAAACCAATACTTTTTCCTTCACAAGCTCACTAACCCTGATAAGTTCTATTAAGAACTTTGTTTTGACACCATCATCCGGATTTAATCTATTTCTGTTCAATTTCTTGCCTTCAGAAAGATCGTAGAGCGCAGGATGAACGGCAGTTACAGACTCCAAGTATTCTAGTTTCAGCACATTCAAGCTACTTTTCCTCTGTTTCTGAATATCCTCCAAAATTTCCTTCTGCAACTGTGTTGGCTTTAAAATAACTACTAATTTCCTCAACCCAGGTAGACTCTCTTGCAGTATGGTTCCTCGATGTACATGAACAAAAGGATGAATCATTTTTCTAATTTCTTCCAATATCTTAAATCTTCTACTATCATCAATAACTTTGCCAAAAGAATTGGTTAGATACACCCATTTCCCTTTGCTTTGATTTTTTGGCAGCCCCCACCTGTCATCAAATACCACCTTGCCTTCAGATGAATTACGTACAGCAAACTTAGGCCTTGCCAAGCAGAGTGTGTTGTATAGCTCATCAAAATTATTCTGAAAGGGTGTTCCAGAGAGGATGATGCGTCTTTTGGTCTGGATTTTTGAGACAGCTTTCAATAAAAGAGTTCCTGAATTACGAGGAGTATGACCCTCATCAAGAACTAATAAACCAGGATGTTCAAGAAGGACTTTTCTGAAATCCTTGTTCTTGGACCTAGTAAGTTGCTCAAACAGTGTGTAACTAATTCCCAAGATGCTTTTGTTACACTTCCAGGAATACAACTTAGCTTTCCGACAAAGTAACTTGGCTGCAGGACGTGATATATTTCGACCACAATCCCCAATAATATTCATAACTATCTCGCTCTCCTTGCCAGTGTAGTCAGAACTGTTCAAATTATGAAAGGGGATGTCAACCTCCCAAGTTTTAAACTCCTCTTCCCATGTAAGAAGCATCCCTTTAGGAGCAATAATCATCGGTCTGCATGTCGTATACAACTCCATGTAAGCCTGGAGAAATACAATAGCAAGTCGGGTTTTCCCAGTGCCAGGGGCATGAGATATAATGCACCCACTGGCACCAGGAAATTCCTTTTGTCCTTTCAATTTATCAAGAAAAATTCCACCAGCTAAATTCCTCCAGAGAAATTCAAATGCTTCACACTGATGAGGATACATAGTTTTTTTGAGCCCAGGAATTATATCCCAAACAGTCCCAGAGTGATTACAGAGGTTATAATCATCATGGCCAGCAGCTATATGCTGAAGCTCATCAAAGGCAGAGTGGTTCCCATGGTCCAAAGTGCAAGAGTCTCTCCTGTGCGACCTTCCCCATGGATTTTCACACTGGATATGAAAAGACCATGTATCAACAGAAAAATAATTAAGCACCCCACATGTTAAGATCATGAATTGATTACATAAATAAATTTTTACAGCCTGAGTAATAACCATAGCCATTTCCATGACAATACCACTGACATGCACTCCCAGACAACGCAAGTTTTTCAAAACATGAAATCCACAAATATTTGCATAATCAACTCTTATTCTCCAATATCAGAAAATATATGCATGAAATCTAGTTTTACTCTCTGTAATTCCAACTTACACACCCCCCAAAAAAATAGAAAAGAAAAAAACTTTAGTATACAGGGAGGGGATGAAAGACCTAATAAAATGAGAAATCATTTTCCTTATTATGAATACTAGAGCAAAAGGCAAATGACTCACAAAAGGAGGTACAATATACTTGATCTCCAAGTCGACATGCAAGCAATATGCACATACAAGTCCAATTTCCTCATTAAGAATGAGATGGTGCTTCCCTTGACGACAAAGAGTAAGTGTATTAACTTCATCCATGGGAAACTGATCATGATCAGAATCAGTGTTACTTTGAACCTGCTGATAACCAAAAATAACTTTAGTTTCCCAGAAATTATATATGGGGCATGCATAAGCACACAACTTGCATTTTAGAGGCACAAAAATTAGAATATATATTTCTAAAAAATTATTTAAAATGAAAATTTATTTCTTAAGATGAGTTCATGCCATGGCTGCCCTTGAGTATCTAACCTGAGAAGCAGGAACAGAGTTTTGTTGGTCACCATAAAGACAGTAATCCATCTCAATCCACAGTTCATCTAATTCTTTCTCCTGTTCTGATTTTTCAACTGTCTTTCGTTCCTTTGTTTGAAGAGTAAACCTCAAAGGTGGCAAATCCACATTTGGATCGGGCTCTGAATCCAGAGGCACCTCCTCCTTACCACAGATAAGATCCTGAAGAACATTAACCACTTCACAATCTTCTACATCATGGCTGTGTTTCTTCTTTGCAAACTCAAACCCTTCTTCCCCCTTGCAATCTTTATGTTTTTCTTCAACAGAACCACTTCCCTCTTCAAACCAACAATCCCCAGAATTGCATTGGCTAGATTTAAGAGCACACTCCATCTCAACCCAAAGCTCCTCTAACTCTCTCTTCTCACGTGCAAGAGAAAACTTCATATTTGGATTCATTTCATGACAATGTTCGGAATCATGAAGATGTTTCTTCTTCTTGCGGGCACATGCATGATGCTTTTCCTCTTGTTCTTCCTCCTCTTCATCTTCATCTTCATCTTCATCACTTGTCTCACGAGTCTTCGTTTCAACCAAGACAGAGTGATCCTCCTGATCCTGATCCTCTTCTTCATCAAGGCAAATAGGTCGACTTAAAGTCCCAAACATCAATTTCTTGCTCCTACGAAAATGTGAACGTGTCCTCTGTGCTGCACACTTACCCTCTTCGTTTGCATTCCTGCTTATCAATATATCTAACCCAAACACTTTTCTTCTCCTCACTCCAAACTCACCCATGTCAATGTTCATTTCCCTTCTCCACTTCCCGTTACTCTTTCTTCTTCTTCTTCCCACATCACCATCACTATTTTCCACTAAGCGTACCTCATCGTCGTAGTCATTTTCATCCAAACCCTCAACCAAATAAGAATCTGAAGACTCACTTCCGGAGCCACTAGTTTGCCCCCAGAAAACATCTTCATCATCGTAACTTAGACCAACAACGTCACCCCCATTGCTGTTGTTGCTGCTACTGCTCTGTTGTTTCACTTGTTGTTTGTCAATTAGGGCTTTTCTAGAGCGCGTTCTCTCCGCAACACAGTGCATGGTTGAAGGGCACTAAAATTTAGCATGTGATTTTTCACAAGAATGAGTTGTGTTCGTGTTTGCGGCAAAACAACCACAGAACAGAGAGGGTTTCAGAGTGCAGCAGAAGAAGTAGTGTGTGAGAGTTGAGATGGGAGAAAGAAAGAAGCAAAAAAGGAGGGAGACGGAAGGACGCAGAGGCAGGGTGCATGGATCAAATATATGCTATCTCAGCTTGTGAATAGTTTTTATAATCTTCAATAACTTTAAAATGGAAGTGGATAAATATTTGTTTTATATGATAATTACAGTTCAAACACTAGTTTACAGGGATAAATGTCTTATCTATCCTGTCCTAGTCTTATCTACATCCCCTAAAAAAAGCTCTTCACATAAAATATACAATTGAAACTTCTACTGATGTACTTTTCATGAATATTTTAAATAATAATTATATATATAATAAAATTATGTAATTTTCATTTTTAATTGGAAACTTGATGACTATAATTATACTAATGTCTTTTTCAAAATATTTTGACGGTTGATTAGGTTAACAAAGTCAACTACAACCATATTGTGTTATTGGACATGTGAGAGTGGAATTTTTGGTAAACAGCATTTTATTTTAATATTTAGACTTGAGTTTAAATTTTAATAATAGTAATATTTTATTACAAATTTTATTATATTTTAAAAATTAATATAATAAATACATTTTTTAACAAAATTTAGTTAGTTTTATACTTTTAAATTTAAAAGTTGAGGTTAATAAAACATTTATTTTATACTTAAAAATAGTTTTTTTTTATGATGGATATTATAAAGTTCCTTTAAATATAAAAAATATTTTTTTCCACAATTTATGATTAACAATAACTCAAAATTTTGCACAAACATTCGTATTTTGTTTAGTTTAAAGGTAAAATGGAGTAAAAAAATTAATTAATAAATAGAAAAATAAAAATAATATGCAATATTATATTATTTAGATTGATATAAGTGGGAGAAAGTTTTGAAAATATATTTTTGTACATAAATTAAAAGAGTATAATAAATAAATAATTTATAATATATCAATAATAATTGTGCACAAATTAATTTATATAAAAAACAGCTACAAAAATATTATCTTCCTTATCTGGATCTCTCGCTTTTCTATGGAAACTATATTTTTATGTATCTGGCCACTTTTTAAAATTCTTCTGTCTTCCTTCTATTAAAAGCAAGTGTTTATACAATTAAAAAAAAAAAGTATGACAAATTTTTCTCTTCTACTTTTTCATCTTTCTCTTTTTTAAACTACTCAAAACAAATAATGTTACAGAATTTTTATTTTATTTTATTATATTTTAATTTTTATATATATTATATAAGTAAAATATAAAAATAACTATATACACAATTAAATATAATATTGTTTTTTTAACAATTTAAATAACAAGATTAAAAATATGAAAAATACCTTTTAAGTTTCACCTCAGAAGTCATAATACTGACTTGACTTGACGGTGGCACCTGTCATAATATGCACGTCAACCCATGATCCCATACCTTCTTATATTAATGCAAGAGCAGTTATTGCTTTTAGAAAATACAATATTTAATTTAAAAAATAAAAAATAATATTGTTTGTGCAAATATGGTACACTTGTGTAAAATAAAAAAATATTTTAAAAAGAAAATAATTTAAAAATACTAATTTAATAAATTGTTTCTAAAATAAAGTTTTTATATGTAAAAAGTCTTAAAAATTGAACTGTACGATGTTACCTGGCGCCAAAAGTTGCATGATTGTGTTGGGTTGCCCTGAAAATGGAAAAACGGATCGGCCCGCCAATCTGAGTGTGACGCAATGATTACTGTTTTTAGCTTAACTAGCATCAACCGATGTTATATTAGTATTTTAGTTGAAATATTATATTTGACAAAGATATATGATTTATAAAATAATTAATATTTTTTAACAATTAAAATTTAAGGATTTTGATTTTGATATATTATTGTATTCTTTAATAAAGTTTAAAAAAAAATTACTATAGTCAATATCATATATAATAAAATTTTAATATATAATATTTTAATATAATATTAAATAGTATCAATATATTAAATTATATAAATTTTTATATGAATTTATTGTGCAAAATAAAAATTTAGTTGAATTTTTTAACAAGTTTTTAAAAATTTATAATAAAATGTTATTTTTTATTAAAATTATAATATATAAAGTTATAAAAATATATTAAATGTAATAATATTATATATTTTAAATAAAATTTATTGCATATAAAATTTATTGTATGTTTTTGTCACACATTTAAAATTTTAAAATACAAGTACAGCTATCTTTATATAAAAAAATAAAATATCAAAATAATGAGATTTTGGAAATAAATGATGATAATATAGAAATATTTTAAAAACTGTCTTTAGCAATTTTTAGTATTTAAATTTTTATAATAAATAAACAAATGATATAATTTAAAGTTATCTTTGTTTTTGCTAGAGTGATATAGTTTAAAGTTAATACTATAATCTTTTGAACATGTTATGGGGTTGGTTAATTTTTATAAGTTACAATATTTTTTTAAAAATTAATCATTTAAAAAATAAAATAATTAATTGTAAAAAATGCATTAAAAAAATCGTTTGAACCAAGCAAGCATAAGGAGTATTTTTTTTATATGATTTTTATTTTTAAAAATTTTAAAAATATAATTTTTTTAGAATTATGAGAACATAGAGTTAAAAATTGTCAATGACGATTTTTAGTGAATTAATGATTTTTAATGCAATATAAAAATTTAGAAATAAAAAATTAATAAAATTTTAAAAATTGTCAATGACAATTTTTTAAACAATAAAAAATTAAAAATCATTAATAGTAATTTTTTAAAAGTAATTAAATATTTTAAAAATATATTAAAAGTTGTCAATAAAAGTTTTGGATTAGAAGTCGTCACTGACAATTTTTTAAAAAAATTATAATTTTATATATTTTTAAAATTTTAAAAAAAACCTATATAATATTAAGTTTTAATTCGGATGGATGCTAACTATTTGTCTTGTCTAATTTATTTGTTTAAGTTTAAAAATACTTTTCTTCAATTTTGTTCTTGTTTTTAATGTACTGTGAAGAGAATTTTATATTATGTTAAGTGTTTTGAATTAATTTGATTTAAAAATATGTTGATCTTAAATGGGTCTTTTTATCCTGGTCTACGTGAATTAGAGTTAAATTAATTAGAGTTGACTATTTAATACTTCTACTTTATTTATTGTTCCTCTAGATTTATGTTTTAGTTACATATATTAATAATAATTTTGTATTTAATAAATTATATTTTATGTGATATAATATTTTTTGAGATGTATATTAAAAAAATATATTTTTATATATTTTAGTTATATATAATATTATAATAATATTTATTCAACTAAACTAAATTTTATCTTATTATGTGGATTGATTGTATAAACTATAAAATATTATTAACTTTAATTAAAAATTAAAAATTAAAAATATCAGTTAATATTAATTTTAAAATTCTTTTATAAATTTATTTTACATATAATTAAATTATTTTTTAGTTATAAATGTTACTTTAATATTTTTAGTATATTATCAAATTTTTATCAAATTTTTTTAATATGATTACTTATATAATTTAATGTTATTGTTTTGTTAGTTTTTTCATTTTTTTTAAGATTGATTATTTACTATGATAATTAATTATATAATAATATAATATTATTTTTTATTTTAACATATAAATGTTATTTATTAAAAATGTAATACATATAAGTTTAATAAAAAAAACTTTAAATTTAAAATTATCATTTCACAACTCAACCTTTAAGTTAACTACTATATTCATATATGATATTAAGATTATTAATAATATGTTAACAAATTTAATTTACTTTAGTTTTTATTAATAAGATTAATTTTTAATTTATTGATCACAAATTTTTTTTTTATATTTTCATTTGACGAAGATGTTTATTTGAGTTAAATTTAAAAATAATTATAATAAAAATATTATTTAATTATTAATGTCATTACAAGTATATTTAAATATAAGTAAAAGTAAAACTAAATAATTTATTAAAATGAGTACAAGAATAAACACTATATTATCCTCTTTATTGTAATAGATTTTGAAAATATTTATTTTCATTTTTATAATTAAATTATTTATTGGTCTATGCGTTGATTAATGAACTTCCAACTATTTTATTTCTTGGCAAGGACTTCTTGCTAAATTCAATTATTATTTGATTTGACTGTTGATTGACCGATTAAATCAACGTGTAAGTTGTTCATTTAGTATTTCTTTTTTCTTTTTTTAAAATTTACATTCTCATTCATTATACATTTTTCAATATTTGAAGGTTGTCTTGTACTAGTTTTATCATAAAGGTTGTAGTTGACTTAAGTAAAAAATATATATTTGAGAAAATTTGGTAAAATGTAATTTTTGCGTAGGGCAACAAAATATATATGCTTAAATTAATATTTTATAAAAAAATTATTTTTTTAATTAAACTATAAAAAAATATTAGAAAATATTATCTTTTATTCATAACTATATTATTAAAGACTTTTGCATATAATATTTTATTAAATATTTTAAATATATTATTTAATGAGTCTCTTAATAATTGTTAAAATTAATGATAAAAATTATAATTTTAAGAAGTTAGTTAAAAAAAAATTGTATTATTACATTATTTGATTTTTGTAATATGACAAATTTTTGCTTTATGAATATTTCTTTCGAAAGATATAATTGAACTGAAAAAAATTTAAAAATTTGTATATTGGACATTATAGTTTATGTTGCTCATCATTTTATAAAAAGAGTATTTGAAAATAGCATCATTTGTACATAAAGCATTAAAAAGATCACAAAGTATAATAATAGGGTATTGTACAATTTTTTTTCAAAATATATATAGTTTATAGAGAAAGAAAATGAAAATGAAATTTTTTTGTAATTTTAGTTTAATTGAAT